TGTCCCTGAGCTTCTTTTGCTGAAGGCTAGCCCTCTACTACTTGAGCCACAGTGCCACTTCTGGCTTTTTTTTGTGTATATGGTACTGAGGAATTGAAGTCAGGGCTTCATGCGTGCTAGGTAAGCACTCAACCACTAAGCCACCTTCCCAACTCCTAATTTTTCTTTTTATTATCAAGGTGATGTTCAGAGGGGTTACAGTTACATAAGTAAGGTAATAAGTACATTTCTTGTCAAATTTGTTACCCCTTCCCTCATTTTTCTCCTACTTTCTCTCCCCCACATCCACAAGTTGCACAGATCATTTCCAACATATTTAATAAAGGACTACAAAGAAGCTCAGTTGGAAGAGAGGGGCAGCCCAACCCTGCTGGGGAGCGGGTAGAAGATCGTCTTTCTCTTCCCAAGCTGAGCTGACTTTCCTTTGCTTTCTCAGGAACGGGGCACAGGCCCCGCAGGACGCACACCACACCCGTGTGTGAGTGGGATGTGTGGGCGGCCGCCGCCCGGGAGAACTGCAGGCTGACACCCGCACGCACACCATTTTATTGGCCAGACGCTGACATGAGATGCATTGTAGATAACATGATTAGCTTTTTAAAAATCTGAATTCTAAGTCAAATCCACCCACGACTTTCTCTGGTAGGGAGGCTGGGTACAGGATCTTCAGGTCAACTGGGCCCCAAGGGCTGTTGACTAGAGCTCACAGCTCTGCGCTGGGGTGGGGGCCTGCCCCACCCCAAGTGATGCGACTCCCCCTCAAAGCACCGACTTCTCATCTTCCGTCTCTCTCGAGGAGCGACTGCTTCATTTATAGAAAGGGAAATCAGTGACAAACACCCTCGATTGCCCGTCACTGCCTCTCCTGGCCCTCACTGCTTCCCTCCTGCTTTCACTGGTGTCCACCCACTGTCTGCACTGCCTCCAACAGCGCAAGTCCGTATGCATCTCGCCACCACCTTTATGCATGAAGTACTTGCTCCTAAGAGTCTTGGTACAGTTATGTATGAGTAGTCCTGGATATGTTAAAAGTGGTGTATATTACATATTTACATGTGTGTGGGGGAGGGTGTGTATTGTTGTAGTGGTAGTAGTAGTAACAGTAGTGTTGAAGAAAGAAAGTAGTGTGACTTCTGGCAGTCTCGGGAATTCAAGAGAATAAAGGGATATCTCTAAATGCATCAAGCAGAAAGGGCAGGAAAGCTAGGAAGGCATGGAAAAAGGAGATGACATAAGGAATTGGCAGAACTAAAACCAAACATAAGCATTATCTATGTAAGCATAGTTCACACAAATAGATTACATCGACGCATACAAATCCAGTAGGATGTTGTATACTCAAGAGCACAGAAAAACCTAATAACATATGTATTTAAAGATAAACAAATAGCAGACTGCAAACCAGAAGAAAAAAGTAAATGGGTGGTATGCTTTGTCAATTTCAGACAAAATAAACTGTAGGTTGGAAAATGACATTACAGACAAAGATGATCATTACTTAGGAATAACATAAAATTGATTCAGAAACTATAACTACATCTAACAACATAAAGGATAGTGGCCAATTAGAAAGTGAAATTAACAGGATATACTAAAAAGTTGCCAGTCATAGGGTAAGTTTTCAAGACAGTTTGCTGAGGTACAAAAATCAGAACTTAGCACACTTGTGTTTAATGGCAAAACTCTACTCTCCAAGTGATCCTAAGGTCAGCTCATCTCCTGAATCCCTAAGTAAAAAGCCAGCCACAGAAGAGAGAAAGTGTCCTCCCTGATCCACACCCACCACAGCTGTGTCCTCAGAGAGTTAGAACCTGAGGCTCTGTGGAACAGCTTCCAGACTAGAGAGCAAGGGACACACAACGGAAACAGGAGAAACTCTAGGATGATTCCCAAGAGCCTCCTGCAAACGGTAGAGATAGAAGCAATCAGGGCAGGACCAGCTATGTTCTTTATGGACCCAGGAAAATGTATGAGTCGCCCAGAATCAATTGTGAGAGCTCTCTGCACACAGCCCCAGGGTGCACAGGGCCCCAGGGTGCACAAGGCCCCAGGGTGAAGGAGCAACCAGAGTCTTGAAAAGTTCTTCCCTGCAGGTGGCGCATTCACCAGCTGCTCAGATGACTGAGTGAACCAAGTTGCTGGCTTTGTTGGCATGGCTTTGGTTACACTACAGGGGGTTCTTGTTTGCAGGACTCATATGTAAAAGTGACAATAGATAAAAAGGAAATCACATCCTGCCTTTGCTATTTCTGAGGGTTGCTGTAAGCTTACATTACAGATAACGTTTTTCCGTAGAATCTTATCTCTGATTGCCCTAGGGTGATACCAAGCAGTCAGTTTCTGACCTACAGATCTTCTTGAAAAGGAATGATTCTCTAATGGGTTTGTAACACGTCACAAAGGCACAAGACAAATAATGGGATCGATTATTGGTCAGGTGAAGATTTGACCCCCTTTTTAACACATTCCTCAGGGAAGACTAAAACTCACCCAGCAACAGTATCTATCCATGCTCTCTCTTTTATTTTTTGGGGTGTGTGCCATCTCTCACATCCCTCCCTCTGGCCCCTTGGGCTCGTCTAGAGCTATCATCCTCTCTGTGTCCAAACTCTAACTCTGCATTCCTAGAAGCAAGCGGAGGAGAGATGCACACATTCACGACCATCTGGAAAGCGTTCCACCACGCCCTTTCCTCCCATTGTCAGGCTGTCTTCTGAAAGGTGTGTTTTTAGTGCTCGTGCTTAGAAAGTTAGAGAGTGAAGATAAATGATGGGAGATGAGATGTGCTTAGAAAGTTAAGAGTTCCAATAAATGATGGCAGACAGGCAAAAAGAAAATACATAGCTGTGTGATTTATAATTGCTGTTTCTAAAGCAAGGAATAAAAATGCCTGCTTCACATCCTATCAGAGGCTGGCGCGGGGGAGGCTGGCGGGAGGGGCAGGGCTGGCGCGGGGGAGGCTGGCGAGAGTGAGCAGGCCAGGGTCTGGGCTGGTCCTCCGCACCAGGGAGGAGCCGCCGCTGGAATTGCTGACACATGCAGACCATCCTTCCCGGCAAGGAGTCCCCGGAACCCCCAACACTCCGCCGCCCTCCCGCAGAAATGGATCATTTCGGGGATCCCCTCTGGCTAAGGGCCTGGGGCTTGACAGTCATCCAAGTGTGAGCACAGACGGTGTGGGCTGTCTGTCTGGATGCTGAGCTTTATCACCTAAGTTGCCCAGGAGAAGGCTGTGGATGAAGACGTCCTCCTTCCAGTTGAACCTGACCCAGCGGATCTCACCGCTGCGCTGCCTGTCAGGGTCGGACACCTGGGGCCGAACGTGTCTCCCTGGGGGGGGGCGTGGCTGGGGGGGGTGAACGTGTCTCCCTGTGCGGGGAGGGAGGGGCAAATGTGTGTCCCTGTGCAGGGAGGGGAGAGGGAGGAGCCAGTGTCCACAAGCCCAACAGACAGATCCACGTGGCCTTTCCACGTACTTGCCTTGCGACTTTCTAGTGTTTTCCCTCCCTGTCCCTCCCCCCTTCTCCTCCCCCCGCCCCCCCCGCCTCTGTACTGACCGTACTCTGTTCCTACTGCGCTCGTCCTCACAGAGGATGATGGTTAAAACTTGTCCTGGTCACTGGAGCTGGTGTCCAGCTTTGTGGATGGCTGGGACACGCGGACCCCCTCTGTGGGCTGGAGTGGTCTATTTTCTCCTGCCTTGGCCTGCAGCAGGGTTCTTTCTCTACATACTCTGGGCCTAGAACAAGCCCGCAGTGAGCTTTCAAATGGAGTCTGGCCCTCTGGGGAGCTGGGGCTGGAGGCAGGGCCTAGCATGGCTGTGAAGGTTCGCATGTTCCCGCAGACAGCGTGGGACAACAGGAGGCATCCCGGGCCTCCGTGGCTAAGCGCTAAAATCCTCGTTAACTTCTGACCAGCACCTCTCCTGCGGCATCTGCCTGCAGGCTGAGGCGGCACTGCTGATTCAACGCGGTAGAGGGTCCTGGCCGGCCTGGGGCAGCCGTGCTGACAGGCCCGGGCCTTCCAGCAGAGACCCGCTTACACAGACGGAGACAATGTCCAACACCTCAAATGCTGAGACATGGCCTCTGTGTCCCCACCGAGAGCTCTAAAGAGAAGGGGGGCCGTGCTGGGTATTTCCCTGCCTTGGATGGTCTCAAGGAAGGATTCAGCTTTGTGCTCCTGGTGTATGTTTCTGAAAGTTCTTTAACATCGAGGCGTGCTACATGGTCATGGAGTAAGTGTCTAAGGGCCCGGGCCGTCTGAAAGGTCTTGCTGAAGTTAGAATTTCAACCAAAAGTTGTTGACTGCGGTGACTTTTCCCCACTGTCTGTGGCCTGGGCTCATTCACGGCCGGTCTCCGTGCGCATACAAAGCCAGCGGTGCTGAGAGCTGAAGGCCGGGCACAGCTGTGGCAAGGGGCAGAACAGGGGCGTGCAGGTGCACACTGCCTGCGGGGTCTCCTGACCCACACCCGAGCTTCCACACAGACGTGTGCAGAGGGTGGATGGGGCTGACAGCCCTAGTGCGCACTCTTGCGCTCTCTCTCTGTCACACATTCATGTGTGCAGGGACCAGAATAAACCCCAGTCCCTTCCAACCCTGGCAGACCCCGGAAATGGCTCATCTGGTCTGTCTCATGCACCGAGAATGAAAGGAGCAGATAATAATGGCAACATGTTCTCTCTTGGCTGCTGAAACAGCGCGTGTCACTACTGCCGTAGTGTGCACCAGCCCGGGACTGAGGAGAGGTGGGATAAAGTGAACCGGATGCCGTTGCGGGAGCGTCCACTCGGGGATGGAAGACTTCCCAGGCTGTTTCTTACCCAAACACTGGTGTCAGCTCTGCTGCCCGGGCAGCGCATGTCCGCGGCCTCCTCGCCGCTGTGAGCTACCCGTGCTAGCAGGCGAGTCTCACTCCGAGGCCGGGAGCCGCCGTGACTCCCTGCACACATCCGCCAAGGGTGCCCAGACAGGATGGGCAGCAAGGTGGCTCCTACCTGGGAGGACAAGCCGACACCTTGCAGGACACCAGCCCTGTGACGGGACGCGTCTCGGGGTCGCAGAAGGACGTGTTCACCGGCACCCTCAGGTCTCGGAAGCAGCCTTCCTTCGTGGTCATCTGCCCTGTGGAGAAGCAGAGGCATGCAGTAAAGACTCAGAACCATGCCCTGGGGTCACGCAGACAGAGAGCTGTCAAGGTCTCTTCCCCAAAGCTGAGCTGCACTTGGGGTGGATATCCAAGGTGTCCACTGTTGCGATTCTGCTTTTCTGAACTGCCGTGATGTTTCATGCATGTTTTGTCAATTTCATGACCACCCAGGTTTTCGTGTCTTTAAGTTCAATGTGGTTTCCAATCATAACTCAGAAGGTGTGGAAATGAGATCAATGGAACTGAAGGCTGGTTTGCTTTTCACCATCCCTTAATGCATTCAATAGTTCAGTTCATTCAACTGATCGCCAAGGAAGTGTTCCTGGAGATCTGTGGAATGGCAGCTGCCGGGGTTCAGGCAGGGAGAGTGAGGGGTTACTGCTCATGAGTACGGAGGCGATGTCAGGCAGAAGCTGTGGGAGGAGGACAGGGCTGGCTGTCCAGCCCCAGGAATGTGCACAATGCCCTTCGACTGTACACACCACAACGGTGAACACGGCCGATGGCTTGTTTTCAATGTTTTGCTATGCTATAAAAATGGACTACAACCACACATACATTATGAAGGATGACCGTCAGAAGTCTGTTTAATAGAGAAGAAAAAAAGAAGGAATCAGAACCACACGACTGCTGGTTTAAGATGACTACGACGACATGCATGAAGGTAGAGAAGTGGTTTTTATGGGGGCCGGGCCATTGGTGTGAGTCACCGCTTCCCCCTCTCACCCTTGCAGCCTGACCCTGGCAAGGCCCAGCCTGCCGTCTGCCACGCACCACCCACTGGACAGACCACCGTCACTCCCAGGTCCTCAGAGCTGGGTCAGGAGAGAACTGACCAAAGAGAGAGTTCTGGAGAAGCAAGGGTGCACAGCAATTCCTGACACTATTCCCCGGAAAGTTAAGCCCTTGGTAAAGAAAACTGTCTCTAGAACACACTGTGGAAACAAGTCTAACATGCTGTCATTACTGCGTGTAAAGAACTGAGCCCCTTGAGTGAGGAATAATGCACTCCAGAGACTCAAACTTCGGAGGGGGCAGAGATCAGCGATTCAAAGTCAGGAGCCCTGGGTTTGAGTCCCAAACCACCCATTTATTGGCACTGTTGAAGTGGACTTGTGGCACCTATATTCTTGTAATTTTTTGGAGTTATTCAGCTCTCTGATGGCTAAATAAAACAGTATATAAACTCACTGTCAGAACTGAATTCAATGACTGGGCTCTCAGCTGGTGCCCAGGGTAGAGAACTGCTCGTCAGTACGGAAATCCCTGCACATTTGTTGATGAGAATAGAAGCAGTTGACATCAGGCTAGCTCAGGCTTAAGCTCACTTGTCCTGGAAAAGTGGCAGTAGTGTCATCTTTCCTTCCCAACTGGGAAAACGTGTTACATGGTGGTTCTTATTATAACGTGCATGTGTCATCTGTTGGATTGCATTTCTGGAGGGTGGAGAACAGATGCTACTCATTTCTATAATTTCAGTAGCTTGCAAGGATTAATTTGTTCTCTCATTCATAAGTACTTGGTGAAACAATGGCCAATATATTCTTACATTAGTAAATTCCCACATTCACACAAGTTAGTAAGAATGAATAGCCAGCTAAAACTCATCAAAGTAGAGATATATTCCACCAGTTCACCCATATATCCCTAATGAGGCATAGTGTGAATAGATATTTTTTTCTTGCTTTATATATATGAGACTATTAAATCAGAAAAAGAAACGAATGTCCACTTAAAGGCATTCTTCAGAGAATCATGCCAACTTTTGAGATTAAATAATTGCAATGATCCAAATTAAATGAAGAATGCCTTGAGTAATTTTATAATTTCCTAGAGATAGTTAGAGGTCTTCCTGATACAGACTGAAGGAAAATTGACCTCTTTTTCTCCACTTGTATTTTGAGTTTAAAGTTTAGCTGCTTTTATTTTCTAACTCCCCCCTATATTGCTTTAGGAAGTATGATATTATAAATAATGGCTTCAGTTTGGTTTCCTGTTTTGAAATTAAAAACATGTGAAATTCAAATCTGTTCAAATCTCAACAAAGAATATTTAAATTGCTAGAGCATAAAATGGTTTCCACCATTGAAAGAAATAAATTTTGCACATTTTAGCACCCAAAAGAAAGCTACAGCTCAATAATTCTTAAGAATGTTAATGTGGAAAATACTAAGTATGTCCAGAGAGAGTAGTATCAAGTAGCTCATTATAAAAATACATCATCAGAGGGCAATTCATACTAAGAAAGCAAGAATGACTGAAAAGTAGGAAAATCTGTTAGTGTATTTCACAACTTTAAGAATGAAAGAACAAACATGAATTTCACCATGAATATAATAAAAGTCGTTATGATAAATTCTGCCTCTATTCTTATAAAAAAGTTAATGAGACATGGAATAGATGGGAATTTCCTTATGTCAACATGCTTTAAATTTATATCTAAGTATCTTTGTATCAATGTATTTATCTATCTAAATAAATATTTGTTCATTTATTTAAGCCTAGAATCTACTATTATGGGAAAACTACAAATAATTTCCTTAAGTTCATTGCTTTATAGAATTAGATAAAATAAGTGACATGAAAATTACATAAGAGGAAAATAGATATGATTGACAAGATATGATTACACATCTAGGAAATGGAAGGATAAAAATCTAGGGCTGGGAAGGTGGCTCAGTGGTAGAGTGCTTGCTTTGTATGTATGAAGCTCTGGGTTCGATTCCTCAGCACCACCTAATAGAAAAAGCCAGAAGTGGTGCTGTGGCTCAAGCGCTAGAGCACTAGCCCTGAGCTGAAGCACTGAGGGACAGCGCCCAAGCCCAGAGTTCAGGCCCTATGACTGGCAAAATAACTAACTAACTAAATAAATAAATAAAAATACAAAATAATAAAAAAAATCTATTACGGTGAACCAACCAGCTAACTGACATTTGGAAGAGTGGGGAGCAAAAAGCTAGAGTCAGAGAGAGCTATGCAAATTATACTTTCTTTTTTGAAAGATAATTGTCTTCTTTTCTTGGGTCACTGCTCACAGCATTTCAAAGACTTATTTACTCAACATTTTGGTTTGATTTCTACCTCGATAGTGAGTACTAGCCTTAACCTTGCCATCCAAGCTCCAGAACTGACACGATGCGATGTCATCTCTGACTTCCAACTAAACCTGAATCGTGCCTCAGTTTACCTGGTCCTTGGATTTGTGAACAGCAGATTATGGACTTCAGGATCTCTAGCCCATGTGAGCTAATCTTTCATAATAAACACCACGTAGCCATATAAATTTGTAAGATGTACACGATGACTCATACGTACATGTATTTGTATCTCCTTCTGGGTCAGCTCTGACTAATATGCCTATAAACAAAGTGATATAAAGTTACTAAATTTAAAGGTTCCCTTTTCTGAATGCTTGCAAAGTTCTCAGTTCTTTCAGAAGACTGAACGCCTATGTGGACAGCCCCGTCTGGCGGAGTTTGGTTTTCTGGTCTGGTTTTGCAGCAGGCAGGGGACGGCCCTGCGGTCAGGAGAGGGCCGCGTGACGGAGCGACTGGCTTGCTCTCTGCGGGACTCAGCTTTGCTTCCTCTGACTAAGGGTGCATCCATGCAGTCATTGCTCACCGAGACTTACAGTCATTTCACTTTGTCAGGAAGAAAAATGACACTGTGCACGGGAAGGCCAGCATCACACTGGCCTGCTTTCTAAAGTGATCTACATCAATAGATAAGAGAGGAGAAAGGCATAAAATTCAAAGGCTTAAGTGAAAAAATGCAAAGAAAACCAAGCTTCCACTGTGGACAGAGCACTCCTGGCCATGGGCGGCAGGGAGTTTAAGAGCACTGTGCCTGGGAGCGGTATCTGGTTACAGAAACCAGCTCTGGGCACTCACTTGCATGCACTTAAACATCTTCATATTTTGCCAAACTATCTGGAAGGGGAGTGTTCATTCTTCAGGATGATGTGTTTTTGTTGTTGTTGTTGTTTTTAAATCAAAGAATCTCCAAGCTCTCATGAATTCCAACTAACAGAATGAATTCCAGCTGGAACCAACAACTTTGTCCTTCTTCCATAAAGAAAAAGAAGGACGTCGGACCGATTCCGTTAGCAAAACTACACCGATGCGGGTGGATACTGCATCATACCCAGAGTGCAGTCCTCCCCCATCACCTCCAGAGTGAGGGCTGGACCCCTGGTGTGAGGAGAGTGGACTGAGCCCATGAACTTTCCAGAACCTCAGAATCAGACGAGGAAGACAAAGGAACCCGGAGCGGGGGCCTTCTGAACAATTCCCCGGTATTTGAGGGCAACTCTGAGGGCTTGGAGGGATCAGTCTGAACACGGTGGAAGCCTGTGACATCCCAGGATGCCGACGGCGGTGACGGCAGTGACAGCGCACACCTGTGCACGGTGGTGGCGTTTCACATCTGATCACACACACACACTCCGCGTAACAGAAACCCAGCTCACCCCCCAACCACCACGGAAGCACACACTCATCAAAAGTAGCAGGGATGTTGTATTAATCAGCTTCTTACTGCTATAAAGAAACACCCAAGGCAGGTCACTTGACAGAGAAAAGAGGTTTATCTTTAAAAAAAATCAGACTGGAGGCCTAAGCAAAGTAGTACAGCCTCTGGCAAAGGCCACTCGTCTGCTTCCTCCTGGCAGGAGCACATGCATGTCTGTCTGTCCAGTTTGCTCCCAACTACCAAGATTCAGCCCTGAGGGCTCTACCCTGTAGCTCCAACCTAATCTCGTATCTTCCTAAATGACCCTCTGCAGTGCAATGAGCACCAGTGACCAAGAGTGAGTGGAGCACAGGCCCGCTGGATCTGAGATAGGCACATTTAAACTGTGGCAGAAGTACGTCTCTCCCGTATGTAGGCACTTGTGGCCCATTTGTCAGGTTCCAAGCTATCCCATCTGAAGCCTTGAGTGCCTAAGTCCACACAGCCCAGTGCTGGAAAGCCAGCTGCGACCGTGACAGGAGTGTGGGAGCGGTGGGAGAGGTCAGGGGCCAAGACAGGCACTTGCCTGAACACCCTGACAAGGGGCCATTCGCTGGGGCTGGAGAGGCTCCTCCTTCTCCACTGTTCTTTGGGAGGGGAGGGCTAGGATTGGTGAAGCCCGTAAGTCTTGTCCTCCATCAGGGGACTGGATGAGGAGGGAAGACTCTCGTGTGCCAGGTCTGTTCAAGGGTGAGTGAAGGCAGGGAGGAGGGGGACCCGCACCATTTCCCACGGTCCCGGCATCTCACATTTGGGTGAAACTGGAAAGAGTCAAACTACACACTTCACCCACTGGAACAAAATGCTTTAGGAAAGAAGTAGGGGATGCAGACTGAGTCCATTTTGTGCAGAACTTGTTTCCGGGGGAGAATGATACTTTTGGGTTAGGTGATCTGCAAGCAGGTGGCATCCCCAGAGAGGCCCCGAGCTGGTTGTGAGGATGCAGGGTGCGGTGAGGACACCACCGTGCGGTTCTGACCGCAGCCACGGCGCCCTGACTGCCCTGCGCCACGGCCAGGAGCAGCGTGGGAGCGACTCACCTCCGCCGCAGGAGACGGAGCACTCCGAGCGCAGGATGGCCCACGCGTAGCTGGGCTTGGCGGGGGGCGGCTTCTCCATGCCCGCTCGAGGCAGTGCATATTCCCAGGCCACTCCTGGGTTCCTGCCCTGGAACAGAAGCTGTGGAGGCAGAAAGCCAGCGGTGGTGAAATCAACGGCCACCGGCCAAACACAGGAGTTTGCTTTCAACACCATTACTATCCCCAACCCACAAGTTGGTCCGCATGATATCACGAACACTCTCCATCTGCCAAACTGCGTGTCAGTTTTCTACCTGGGGCGAAGCTCTGAGTGAGGCTCAAGCATGTCTAGGAAAGTCTAGATTCTCAGCCTTGCACGTCATGTTCAATGAGTGCCCCTATTCAAATCCTCAGAAACCTACGCAGCCACAGCCCTACCAAGCCTCAGCGTCAAGTGAATCAGAAAGTGCTAGCTAAAGAGCATCTCCTCACCGTCTCCTGAAGTCCAAGTAAGCAGAGGAGCCTGTAGATCGATGTCACCCAGGCCCAGAGTTAGCCAGAGCACCCCCTTCCGTGAGAGGATACAGGGGTACAGGGGCAAGAGGCGTGAATGGTAGCGAAGGCCCCGTCACGCACACACGGGGAGCAGGGCTGAGCCGGGGCTCAGTGTGGAATTGTGTTTGGACCTGACACTTCCTAGCTTTAGAACAGTGAAAGTCTCTCACAGAATGTGCACAATCTGAGGAGGCTAACTTTGAAACCTTACCATGAAGCCATAGCCACAGATTCCACCCCTTCTGTCGTCCTTGACGTTCAAGACATTCATTCCTACTTACTACCCTAGCAATACTCCAGCCACCTGCAAACACAGCCCAGGAGCCAGCGGTACCGCTGGGCGACAGGCACACGGGGCCGGCAGCAGGGACACGGAGAGGTTCCCAGCTCTCTCTTCCATCAAGAGCCTCAGCCCGAGGAGCCTGGCTCATTTCCAAACACGGCCGATTATTCAAGCTCTCTATGGTAGGCGATTTCAGAAATCGAGGGAATGATTCATGGTAAATTTATGGTGGGTGGGAAGTGAAGTGTTCAGAGTCAGGACCCTCGGAGGGTGAGGTGGATCTGCGAGGTGCAGACAAGCCCGACTAGTGGGCGTATTGGTTGGGATAGCAGTACTCCATGGGGAAAGGTGGGTTGATGGGGCCACGGTTGCCCCCAAAACTTTCCTTGAATTGTGGGATACAGTGGGGAAAGGTAGGGATTCAGCACCCTGACTCCCTGCTGCTGCCACCTGCCCAGGCCTGTGGGGTAACCTGTTTTGCCAACAAGGGGCTTGTACTTCCTGAGCCTGTCCTGCAGTGGGTAGTACACGGGAGGACTGAGATTGCGGTGGCCCAGCTGCTGGGTGATGCAGCTCGGCCAGTGAGAGTCAGTAATGAAATAGAGTGCACCATGTAGTACAGGCTCCAGCTGAGGGCTCTCACTGTTACTACAGAACCTGGCAGCCCAGAAAACGGGCGCCGGAGGCCCTCTCACGAGGAGCCTGCACAGCCCCTGAACTCCTGGAGAGAAACCAGCGGACCCCAGACAGGAACGCAGGTGTGTGTGGAAACAGGAGTTCCTCACAGGGAGCGGGAGGGATGATAAAAGCAAGTCTACTGCCCCCTTCAGTCCGCTGGGTGTATTACTCTCGCTTTCTGTAGCTTCACTTTCTTCTGCATGCTTACAGTGAGGCTAAGAACCTAGAAGAGACATGGGAAGGTCATCAAACCCAGCCCCAGAACTGAGCGACGGGCTTCTACCTCTATGACCAGTGTTTCGTTGGTTGGTCCAGCAGAGGTTAAGGTCTCAGGCTCCTTAAAGGACCGCCTGTAGTCAAAGGTGGTGCCGGAAAACCTGTACCGTCCAGGCCAGTCCACCTTCCAGTGTCCATTCAGGTAATAGGCGTTGAAGGCATTGCGCACAGAAATGTAGGAGGTAGATACATTGGTCTCGTAGATACGGATACTCCGGGCGCCAGGAGGAATGGTGACCACGTGGTAATAGTCTGGATAAAGCAGAGAGGAAAACACATTTCACATACGCAGGCTTCTCTACTACTGGAACGCAGGAACCCAGGGTGGGCACCGGGAGGTCTGTTAGGCCATCAGTAACACTGCAGCTATCAATGCAAGCAGAACTCTTGGAAGTTTTATTCTTCCTAAGAACTATTTTAATTCAAGTAGAGTAGCAACACTTCTGGCCCAAACCAAAGGTTGGAAAAGCAAAGGTCAGTGTGTGTGTGTGTGTGTGTGTGTGTGTGTGTGTGTGTGTGACAGAGAGAGAGAGAGGGAGAGAAAGAGAGGAAGAGAGAGAGAGAGGGAGAGAGGGAGGGAGAGAGGGAGGGAGAGAGACAGACAGACAGAGACAGACAGACAGACAGACAGAGACAGAGGGGCATTCAGAGCTCTGAGCACTTCCACCCCCTCTGGCCCCTCTCTGGGGGAAGCTCCAATCCCCGCCATCCCTGCTGAGGCCTGCAGGGGGTGCCGTGACACTCACGGTTGGCGTGGTGGTGCCTGGAGTAGAGCCCGCGGTGCATGGTGCAGTCTGAGTTATTCCCTTTGCACACTCCACACGAGTCCTCCGTAGCATCAGAGCCCAGGACATTGTCACAGCCAACTCTCTGCGGGACCCACGAAGTCATGTGCCGTTGGAGAAGGGAGGAGCAACAGAAGCGACAACGTCACCGACGCCGGTAAGACGTGCCTCCTTCCCACTAAGCTGAGGAGTGCACCCGCGGGGGTCGTTAACAGATAGTTATTGGATACCCAATATGTGCACAGAGAGACTATGTTGCTGCCCTGAGTGTGAACCACAACCCATCCTCTCCTTCAATGTCCGGTCTGAGCCTAAAGAAAGCCCGTTAGAGACACGGGCGGGCTTCCACTAAGTAAACAGCTTAGCACAAGGACAAGCAAGAGTTCCACTAAAATCAGGGCTCAAAGTGGGGCAGGAGTCCTTTGGTAGGTAGGCATCTAGCCGGCACATTTTGCTACTAAGCAAATTCAGGTCCCATAAAATTTCACAGGAGTTCAGATGCCAGTTTTTCAGCTGCTTACATTTCAGAGTTACACTGTAGGTAATTGATTTGTGATCGCTTTTATATGCATGAAAAGTGATGAAATATTTTTTAAAAATGAGCTAGAAGACCAAACAAATGTTCTGAAGCAGGAAGGGGCCTCACAGAGCCTGGTGTCAGGGGCAGCGTGTGTGTGTGTGAGTGTGTGTGTGAATGTGCATGTGTGTGAGTGTGCGTGTGTGAGTGTGTGTGTGTGAGTGTGTGTGCATGTGTGTGTGTGAATGTGCATGTGTGTGAGTGTGCGTGTGTGAGTGTGTGTGTGTGAGTGTGTGTGCATGTGTGTGTGTGAATGTGCATGTGTGTGAGTGTGCGTGTGTGAGTGTGTGTGTGTGTACAGTTCACTAAGGACCTAAGAGGATAATTCTTCTTCATGGAACAATGTTGCCCATCGCTGTGTGACACGTCTGGTAAGCTTTTCATTGTGTTCACAGGAAAAGTCTTGTCACTTCGTACTTTGCGAATGGTGGCAAGCCAGTCGCTGGCCCCTGTCTGCTCGTTCCCTGCCTTCCCGGCTCCGAGGGGCTCTGGCTCTCGCAGAAACAGCCGTGAGCGCAGCAAGGTGGTACCCAGGGCCCCGTCTGCCTTGCCTCCCCTGACTGCCCACCATCTTCCCTACTGCCCAGAAGCCACTATAACCTGTCGCTCTGTGGCACCCCTGGGACTTTGGCCCCTCAGCCCCATGGCTGAAGGACCTGAGGACTGCATTGGCCTCTCTAAAAGAGGGCAGCACGGCCCTGGAGCATCTCAGCTCTGCCTCAGCTCCTCTAGCAGCCCACGCGCTCGGGTTCCACCACACGCCCCTCCACACCCCTCCTCCACTGCGTCCCTTCAGGTCCAGATCAAGACACTCTCCTGGGTGTCCGCAATGTCGCAACCCCACGTCTAAGGAAGAATCGGCCCTGTCTCCTCTGCTAAGCTCTGGAGTTATTTCCATGGTAACAGAGCAGTGACATAAATACAGGCTCTCTGGCCTGCTCCCCCACAGGGCTGTGATGTGGAGGGAGGGGACTCCTCTTAGAAGTCTGGTCTTTCAGCTCCTACAGCATGCTTGGCACAAAGGAGACTGTCTGGAGATATTTGTTGAATGAATAAGTGATCGTTATTACCTCACACATCCCATCTACACAAACATTACGGCTATCCTCCGAGCATGGAGTCCCATCTTTCACTTTATTTGACAAAGAAAAGAAGAAATCAAATCCTTCTGCGATACAGTAGAGTTTGCATAAGTCCTGATCTTAAAAAGAAATACACACACAAACACAAATAAGAAAGATACTTAAGCTCGGATAATTTTTTCCTCTGAATTTTAGATAGTTTTTTTTTCTATTCTTCCCCCATAAAATAACTCCCACACAAAATTACATCGCAAAGACATTATTTACAGTTGCCTCTTTGGCTTTTTTCCCCCTTTAAATTTGTTATTGCTTTTAATGCTTTACTACGAGCTTTTTCTCCAATGTTGTTTACTGCTCTTGTTCTTCACAGAGAAGCTGGCACATAGTAGGCATTCAATAAGTATTTGTTCACTTGATCACAGCATTTACATTTTACAACATAAATAACAACTGTTTTGTAGAAATGCAAAAAGGCAAAGGTCTTACAAAAATGTAACGAGAATTAATCACAAAATTTCTTAATGCATTAGATAAACTACTTAACATTTGAAAACTGGTAAGATAGTTTGGTGAAAACTAGGTGTGACACTTTCTATAAGGACAGTAGATCCTCAGGGATGAGGGTAGGGAATGAACAGGAGGGAATACCTGGATCTCACTCTTCACTAACCCCCTCTAAGGTCCTATGACACGTATAGTCAAAAGAGTTCTCGTAGGAACCCTTTTCCTTCTGTTCTCCTCTAGGGAAAGAAGGAACTGCTTGATGGTAAAGATAATACCTGCCTGCCTTGGGACTCTCCGCAGACCCTAGACCCACCCCACGGACATTTCCCCCTCGCTCAAGATACAAGGTGCTATGGAATAATCCATAGGATTATTAGGATGGTTAGTCAATCATCTGGAGTGGTACAGAGGCTTCTTTTCTCCAGTGGTTGGAGCTGAATCAACACTAGGCGAACACTCTACAACAAGAGCCACAGACAGCCCTCCCCCTACAGCCTTTGCTTTTCATTTTACTTTTGAGACAGGCTTCTACAACCCAGAACTTCCAATCTTCCTGCCACTGCCTCCCAAGTTGCGGAGAGTACAGGAATGTGCTCCATGCCAGCGACATCTCCATTCTTCATCCAATTTCAAAGGTCATTCTGCCTTTATTTCTGTCTAACGATTGTGTTCCTCTGCACCTCAAGGGCTTTGTTTTTGCAGAGTAAAACAAAACCAAATAAGCTGTCATGAGGTTGCTTGTGTTTTCCCATTTAGCACTTGCTAACTTTGTAATTTTTGCTTTAAAATGGTGGAAGCAAAGATACTGAAATATCTCACTCTAGGAAAACTTTTCTTTTACTATGATATCTGAGTTAATAACATTATTATTATTATAGTTATAACCATATACAAGACTATACTTATTTCTCTCCTACAGATGAATAAAAGTTTTTACTCTCAATATATACAGCCCTTGGAGCATAATTATAGAATAATACTCTCAGAATATAGTATTCTTGGAAATGATTCAATTGTTTGAAAAAAATCTAAACATTTTCTTTTATTCTTGGATAACTTGAATTATATAATGGGTATTTATAAAAAAATCATCATCAACTACTGTAATTTATTTTTTAAGCCAATTAATTCACCATTGATTTTGAATTGCTACCACTTTTTTTGCGGGGGGAGGGGGGGGAGTTGGCCGTGGGGCTTTAACTCAGCCTGGGCATTGTCCCTGTGCTCTTCAGCTCAAGGACAGTGCTCTACCACTTGAGCCACAGCACCACTTCCAATTTTCTGGTGGTTTATTGGAGATAAGAGTCTCATAGACTGCCTGGGCTGGCTTTGAACTGTGATCCTCAGATCTCAGCCTCCTGAGTAGCTAGCATTACAGGGTAGTTACTTTTTTCCAGTCCTGGGGCTTGAACTCAGGGCCTGGGCATTGTCCCTGAGCTTCATTTTTGCTTAAGGTTAGCACTCTACCACTTGACTCACAGCATCACTTTTGGCTTTTTCTGTGTATGTGGTACTGAGGAATCGAACCCAGGGCTTCATGCATGCTAGGCCCGCACTCTACCACTGAGCCACCTTCCCAGCCCCTTGTTATCATCTCTGATGAATTTACCTGTATTCTCTGGCCTGTGGATTTCTGACCACACAGGTGGTTCAGTGTTAATGACAGCACAGGACGGTGGACAGAACAAAACAAACAAATCCCTCAAAAAGAGTGTCACAGTGACGTCTTAGAACTAGGAGATCTACCTGAGCACAGCACTAGCCATCACGCGGCTGGTTAAGAAGTGTCTGTCCCGAGGGTGAGTTGAGACTTACCTTCCACTTGAGTGTAAGGCTTCCATTTGTAGAGCCAGCCTCGGAAGCGCTTGCTGTTATACTCGGCACACTGGGCCGCGCGGAAGTCCACACTGTCCTGGGGACACTGCTGTCTGCTGCAAAGCTTCAGGGTGCGTGCGGCGCCCTCACAAAACTTCCCCCCATGCGATGGTCTGCAACACACAGTTTGCGGTTAGAGCCTTGCACTTCATCCTGGAGATGAGACTTATGAGAAGATGGAGCGATGGTATTGATGTACGCAGAGTGGGGAGGGGCCACACGTTCCTCTGTGGGTGAAGTGTCTGTCTGTCTTTGGGTGAGGTGTATCTGTGAATGAGGTGTCTGTCTGCCTGTCATCTGTCTATAAGTGAGGTGTCTGTCTATGGGTAAGGTATGTGTGTGTGGGGGGATGTCTGTGGGCGAGGTGTCTGTCTGTGTTTCCCTGCTCTCTTGAGAATGCCATCTGCTATGCTGGTGCCATGTCCTCTTTTCCTGCCAGTGTCCTCTGGCCCAGGCAGGGCTGCACTGCTGTGTCCTTGTGGGAGCGGCTGCTTTCCCAGGTATAGAGATGACCAAGATGGTCCAAGGGCAGAACCCAGACTGAAATTCAGTAATGTTGCTTTCCATACAGCAACTTCTTTCTGGGTCCAACCTCTGCCTGACAGAGCAGAGCAGAAAGGCTGAGTCAGAGCATCACCGGGCTGACAGCCCCCCACACCCCACTCTCTTGTGGGATTCCTGTGCACGCCGCATGAGTGGGCCTCATTGCGGACAGGAGTGACATGCTAGGTCCTAAGCCTGAAGCAGACCTAGGAGCAGACGGCGGCTGTGAAGGCCTCACTTCCCCATGTGAGCTGTGGCTCCGAGTCCTGCCTCTCACACAGGCTCACACTTCAACCACTTGTTAGAAAATGAATACTAAGGGCAAGCTAAAAGAACAGTTCTTCATGAAAGAACTGCTTTCACTGATTTATTCATTTGTCTTCTAATGTTTGCCTTTTTTAGCAAAGTCTTTGCTATTTACGCAGATGGTTTGTATTTCAAATAAAATTAGCTAAAATCCAGTTCCTAAGCATCACTTTTGGGTGTCACTGCTTTTGTTGCGGCTCAGAAAGTCATGGGCGTCATACAATGAAGAATGATGGCGGAAGAGCCCTCCCTGCTCTGTGATTCCTGAGGATTGTGCAGAGCGCAGAGCGGAGGTGCTGGGCGTGGGCGCCGGTGGGGGCTGGCTCATGGACAGAGCTGGGCTGTACCTGGGGTTCGTGCAGAGTCGGTCTCTGTGGGATACTCCTCCTCCACAGGTCCTAGAGCAAGGCGACCACGGAGACCAGTCTGACCAATGGCCGTGAGTGGGCCTAGGGCCCTCGTCACCGTATTTCACACACTGTCCTCCACGGCACCACTAAACATTTCAAAAATAAATACACAAAGGGTCCATGTGAGTCGCAGAGTTAGGAAGGCTCATTTCATGACTATCAAAACAGCGATTACCGGGGAGTTTTGTGAACTGTGCAAATATTAACATCACGATGCTCAGTGAGTACCGGTCAAAGACAAACAGCGCTATGCTCCTTTGTCTACCAAATCTAGCAGGACACTTGCAAATCCACAAACGTGGAAGTGGACAGACCGATTGCTTTGGAGAACTGTGCTCCTGGAACTTAATTAAGAAGTGTTACATGACGGTTGAGTCTGATCCTTCCGTTCCTGAGTCAGTGAACTCTGACCTCGCGTGGAAGCAGGTGCCTTTCTCGGCTCCTGCTGGGGGGAGACTGGGTATGGGGCGAGGCCCGGCACAGCCGGGCGCAAGGCAGGACTCAGCACCCTGGGATTTCAGCCGACATCTGCCTCTCACTGCAGCACACCTGGGCTCGGGGCCCTGTGCTCAGCCACAGGGCAGGTGAGAGGTCACTCAGCTCTCCAGAATCCCCTCAACATGCAGGCTGGGGCTTCAATTCACCCCGAGCTCCACTGGTATCTCCACCTCCACAACTCGCCAGTCCTGCGTGTTATCTGACCCTGTGTTCCATGGAGCCATGGTGTTGACCTCAAGGAATGGGCTATCTGAGAGAGGAGGGGAGGGAAGATGCCAATCATGCTAGCGCCCGGTGATGCCAGCAGAGCCCGGCTGAGATCAGAGATGCCACGAGCTCCATGCTGTCCCCGAGACCACAGCCCTCAGCATGGGATTGTGAGAAACACTGGACACTTCCACGAGAGAGGAATGCACCATCTCAGTGACCAATGACACAGAGGTTAGGACACAACATGCCACGGACCTCTCTCTCTCTCTCTCTCTCTCTCTCTCTCTCTCTCTCACACACACACACACACACACACACATACACGTGCACACAATTGTCAATGTTTCACTTCATATGTAATGAAGTTGAAATTTTCAACTAAAGCAACTTTGAAAACCTCATCCAAGCAATTCTTTGAGTCTTCTCTATGACTGCTCCCCTCTCCAGAGCAAAATACCGTCACCACCTGCCTTCACCCCAGGTGGCAGAGCAAGTCATCCGAGGACTGGGCAGCGGGGGGGTGGAGTGTCTGATCATCCCAAGAGTGAAAGACAAGATGGAGACAGAAAAGAGTGAAGTTAGCTGTGGCGGCAGTGCTGGGCTCTGGAGGGAGGAGGGGGAGGCCAGGGGTGTGTGTGTGTGTGTGTGTGTGTGTGTGTGTGTGTGTGTGTGTGTTGTCAATTTAAAATTTTTGTTCTGCTTTAAAAACCATTGAGTCACCGCAGCTTTCCAACGCAGGAAGGAACAAATATAAAAGCACAAATCACCAAGGCGAATAGCTTAGAAAATACTCCCAGGAAAATCTGTCTTGGTGGGAAGCTGCAGGTGGGATTTGGATCCGCTCCTGAATCAGGCAGGCAGGTGGGAGACGGTGGCATGGCTTGAAAGCAACGGTGGGAGAAGAGTGGCAGTCCCACTTTGCGTCACACCACTGATGCTGCCGTGCTACTGCTTCTCAGGAGAGCGGCAGATGCAAAACAGAGAGCGGCTATCCTTCCTCCAAAAACCATGCTGAATTGGAAACTTCCTACATGAAAACAGGCAGACTACAGAGCACGGAGATCCCCGGAAACCCGGGCCCGCGCTCCACACTCCCCACGTGCGTCCAGCTGTGTCTCACCTGTATTCCGTCTACCTTTTCTCTTCTTAATACTGAGTCCCAGACATTTTTTATCTTTAAAACTTCACTATTCCTCCCCAAAATTAACACTTCAAGAACAAAAATAGCTGTCTAGAAGCTTAGAGAAACTTCTAGTATTATCAACGATTTGGTGAGTGTCCAAAATCTTGTTTGTTCCTTCCCACTGGCGTGGTAAATCCCGGCTGGAGTGAGAAGCAGGTGCTGTGCTTGGCAGACTGCTTCTCGACTCTGCCACTGTCTGTGATCTCTCTCTGTCTGTGTCTGTCTGTCTCTCTCCCTTCCATGTACTGGTCTGTCTGTGAGTCTTATATTCTGTCTGTGTTTCCTCTAAACATTCTCCTGTGTGACTTGGGCCTGCTGTGTTCAGGAGGCTGGGGGGAGTGGCCTGCTCAGGTCAAGCTGGGTCTCAGCGAGCCTGGCTGTAGTAGTGTCGTGGATGCACACACAGAATGCCTCCCAGTGCACATGTCTTTGGTGTTCGACGCTTCAGTAGATATGGAACTGTCAGACAGACTTGCTGACTGTACAGGTTCAACATGCCATTCTCCACTGCTTGCTAATACACTTGCCTTTTTGTACTTTGCTTTTTTCTCTCCTGTGGCTCTGTCTTTTCTGCACAAGAGCAGCAATAGGTCAGCATGGTCACTCAGGGTCTTCCAATTGAGGCCCAGAGGTGGAAAGTCCCTAATGCTGATCCATCGTTGGTTAAAATGAATGGTTTACTCTTTCCCTTGTTAACTGCATTCAGTCATCACATCTAAGAATCCTAATAGCTATCCATTATATTTTCTCAAAGTGAAGAGGTGTCCTGTTCACAGGTTCAATATCAAATGAACGCAGCCTTTCAGCATGGCTGGAGGAATGGACAGGTACAGGTACGTGATAATTGCTCATGTGAAAATGAGGACAGCTGATGGGTTAGGAGACACCTGCGTGCCGCACTGCCTCCCACAGACAGCCAAGTCGCAGGGCCTCGGTGCCTTACCATGTCCTGCCCGCATACCGTGCCCTCCGCCGCTGGCATGAATTTGGTCTCACATTTCCTTCCGATGCGGTGGCACCACAGGGCTTTACAGATGTCCTGGAGGGGGAAAGGTCATTAGTGTTACCTCTGTGTTGTATCTGTGGCAGTGTCACTGAGGAAAGTCAGAGGAAAGCACCTGATGGAAATCTGAAGTGAAGATTACTCAGTAAAAACGACAGAGGGTAAAGAAGCAGCCAGCTAAGGAACCAGAAAACCCACATTGTATCTGAATTATATCCTTGCAGTTGTATTCGTTTTTTATTTACTTATAAATTTAACAAATTATACATTCTAACACTGCTCACTCTAAACATTGTAGTCAACTACCAAAAGCTACCACTAAGAAAACCTGGCTAACATTTGGTGGTTGTTTTTCTCAGTTCCACCTTTCACGAACGTCTCTGTCTCTGAATCTTAAATTTTTTTTTTAGTTAATTATTTATTTTGAGAAAGGATCTTGCTATGTGGCTCAACCTGGTCTAGAACTCCTGGGTTCAAGTGATCCTCAGGCCTCAGCCTCCCAAGTAGCTGGGATGACAGATTTTATCAATGTGCCCATCTCTATAATCGATGAGTTAAGAACAGTTAGGACACTGTTAGCCCATCAGTCCAACCATTCATTTGTCCCTCCACCCCACCCTGCATCTGTCTGTACGCCCACCATCCCCAACACTTTGATGAAAACTCAAGTTATGAAGAGCCTTTCAGTAGGCAAGACATTTCATAATGGAGGTGACCCGCAGCTTGAGCTTGGCCAGGGAGGAGCAGGAAGGGAACTTACAAACCACCACTGAGGGCCCATGGGAGGAAGAGCATGTGGGTGAGCCTGCCAGAGGGGAAGGGCTTTGCCTGAGGAGTGAGGGACGCAGTCAGACAGCGCATGATGGCTGACACCAGAGCTGAACGGGCTCATCAGGAGGAAGGGGTGGCACCCGGCGGGACGAGCATGTGTGAATGAAAGACTCAGGAATGAAGAGAGGGTGGTCAGGAAAGAAGACTCGGGACTGCTCTAGGGTTGACTGGACCCAGGCCTGGGACACGACAAAAGGCTCTGCAAGCGAAAGGGTTGTGTTGATCTTCAAAGCCTTTGAGTCCAAAGGAACTGCCTAGAAACATGCGAGAGCAGGACCTATCAGATGTCAGAACCTTCTAGAATACTGGTATCTTTAGGTATCATGGGAATGTCTCTAAAACTTCCTGTACAGTCATTCTGAGTATTTTAATAAGTTCTGTATTACGTTTCCAGAAATGTAATGGCTGAGTGCCCTGAATGACTGGGATTGCAAACAAAATGCAACACAGCGAGAGAAACTTCACTGAAAGACGGTGCTGTGTCTCCCTGCGTTTCCACTGCCTCGCCAGGCGACTCCTGACTTGTGTGAGCTGTCTCAGAAAGACTTTAATTTTTAGTGATCCGTTTTAATTTCACCTGCATGAAACTAGTTCTTAATATTCTAATCACATCATATATCTAGAAATTGAAGTATTATTAAAGATTCAACTCACATTCTTCCTGCGGCTCCTCCCTTACTAATCAATCATAGACAGCTTTTCTTCAAAAATACAAATGAATAGAATGTAAAATAAAATGACATTATGCCTTTTTACTGCTTATATGTCCTTTTCCCCTCCCTTCCTCCCTCTCTCCTTCTCTTCTTCCCTCCCTCCCTTTGGAAGTGCCAGGTTTGAACCCAGGGCCTCACACTGGCTGGGCGAGGTCTGCATCACCTTTTCAATACCTCCAGACATTTCTGTTTCAGCTAAGTGCTGAGTAGGGCCTCGTGTGGCGAGGCTTGCTGTAAACACCCTACACACATCTCCTGTAGAGCTGGGAACTTAGTTAGTTGCATATCACCATACCCAACTTGTTAGTCGAGATAGAGTCTTGTTTGGGATAGCCTGGAAATCACAATCCTGTCCACCTTTGCTTCCCAAGCAAGTAGGAGCAGAGGTGTGAGGGCTTATACCCTGGCCTGTCCTAGCTCTGTCTCTCCACGGTATTCAGGAACCAGGAATGACACGGTCCATGGTCAGAGCAAAGGTGGAGGCCATTCTCAGAGCTGGAAAGCCTTGTCTTTGAGACAAAATGTTGGTCAGCCCCTCATTTCCCTCACAGACACAAAAGCAGTACTTAGCAAAACATTTTATAAGAGACTCAGATGTTCTGCTCACACGAAGGGGCAGCACGGGGACCCGTGGTGCTGCCGGAGGTTTACTCTCCTGGTGGCAGCTGGAACCGCTGGAACCCCGCTCAGGCACAGATCTGTAGCTGTTCTTTAGGGGAGCCCCACCTGACCTTAGAGGAGAGAGGGCTCTCACGCGGGATGTCAGCTGATGTATTCCCAGCACATCCTGAGATGTGAGGGGACGTGCAGGGGACTGTATTTCTTGTCTGTTTTATTATTGATTTCGAGATGAACTGGGAATAAAAGAAACCTCAACAACAGTTACTTTCATTTACTTTATGAGGCGCTTTCCTTGTGGTTCAGAAGAGCAAGTTCCTAAAGCTTGCTTTTTCCCTGTCGAGGAAGAGCATCTGTCTCTGAGTTACGTGAGGAATTTGTATAGGAAGTCACCCTGTGACAGCCTTAGGAGCAGGGAGATATCACCTCCTATGAGAAATTACTCTATAAACACTTTCTTTAGGGAATGCAATAGTCAGAACCCTAGCTAGGCAGCTGTTTTCTAATAAATTATGCTTCTATGGGGATAGGATGAGGGACATTGTTTTCTTAATACTATTTGTAAAAAAAAAAAGGCAGAGTATTAATTTGCCAACTCACACTGACTAAAAGTTATTGCTGAACTTCCACATGATAAATCAGAAAGAAAGATCTGACCTAACGTGCCAGCTCCATCCTCCAATGAAAGCTGATACCCACAGCAGCGTCCACAGCCACCCGCTCCACCAGGAAAACATGTGTTTCCTGTTACACAGGCCCGGCCCTAACATAGAGGATTTGACATTTGGTAGGTACCCAATAAATGCAGAATGCATCACTGTCAGCTACACAAAACAGAGCGAGCTTAGCATCATACTGCACCGAGCACCGGCCAAGAGTCACTTGCCTTTCTGAAGTCTAGAAGACAGAGCTTGGCTTTCTCTCCAAACTGCCACTTGCACTGTGTGTTTGCGTCGTACAACTCTCCCGGCAGCTTCTCAGGGTACTTGTATTCTTTCACGGGTTTTGGCTGGTCAGCAAGGCACACGGCTTGGGCAGTGCTGAGACAAAGAGAAGATGGCAGCTACTGATGGCCGAAGAGTTACCGACTGATTTGATAACAAACTGGGGCTTTTTTTCTTGTGTGATTAATGTCATATTTTGTATAGAAAGAAGGGAAAGTTTTCTCCTGAGATCCACTGTAACATTTATCTTTATTATATTTAAATACAGATGCCACATTGTCTGAAGTTGTTCATAAGATATTATATATTTTCCAAGAAGACAAATTGCTCTTCATTAAATATCTCAAACTTTTCATGGGGGAAAAGTGAAAATAATTACAACCAAATGTTTAATGTGAGAATTTCCTATGACACAGAAATTTTATGCATACTGCTTGCCAGAAACAACCAAAAGATGGAGTTGAGCACATTGTAAAAATAAAAAATAATAAAGCTATGTCAAATAATCACCCTCCCTCCCTCCCTCTCTCCTTTCCTTCCTTCCTTCCTTCCTTCCTTCCTTCCTTCCTTCCTTCCTTCCTTCCTTCCTTCCTTCCTTCCCTCCCGCCTTCCTTCTTCCTTCCTTTCTTTTCCTTTCCTTTCCTTCTACCTTCCCTCCCTCTTTCCTTTTCTCTTCTCTCCTCTTCCTTTTCCTTGTTTTCCTTTCTCTTCTCTTCCCTTTCCTTCTCCTCACTCCCCAAGTAGTCAATTTTGTAGTGAAATCTTTGAAACTATAAAGCAAAATAAATCTTTCTCTCAGTTGTTCCTCTCAGATATTTTATCATAATGACCTAAGGCTGACTAACATAACCTCCTTAGTTAGCTAAGATTTTTGGCATAATTTATAGATCTGGGAGGCATATAATGTTTTAAATAGCAATGTTTGCAAGCAGCAATTACATCTTTCTTATATGTTTCAGTGGCTACAATTTAGCCCTAAAACCAAGATCTTATAACCACCATGAATTGAGTAATGTAAAACATCATCCCTGAGTTTGTATCCAGTGATTATTCAAACCAATTGGAAGATGTTTGGCTCCAATTTCTAGGACTCCAGTCTCATATTCAACACAATGTCATTCAAGAATCTGGGCATAAAAAGCAGCAAAGACCCAAATGGGCTCACTGAAACAAACTTCTAGGGAAAATTAAGTATGTCAATTCTCTACAATCTCTTCATTTGGATGGGGACAGAGTTAGCTCTCCCTGTGAAGGGCAGTGTTATCACAATGCCAAAACAAGAGAAAGTATGAGAAAACTACATACTTATATCTCTTACAATGGTAGGTGCCAAAGTCTTCAGCAACACGTTAGCAAATTGAATCCAACAACTTATAAAGTAGATTAAGTACAATAATCAGATGAAATAATCCCAGTGTACAAAACCAAACTGGCACTCAAAAGTCAATTGATACAATCCATTTCATCAACTGGGTAGAGAAGAAAATCTCACAAATCTGCATCAGTAAATGGGGAAAATCCAATACTCATTCCTAACAAAGTAGGAATGAAAGAGAGCCCCATCTCTGACCAAAAAATTCTACATAAAGTCCATAGCTAAAATCATAATTAAACCTGGGAAACTTGTACCTTTCCTACTGAGATCATGAGCAAAGCAAGTATATCTTTCTTTTCTCTCTGTTTCTTTTATTTTTCTTCTTTATATTTTGGAGATGACCGAGTGTGAATTCAGGGCCTTGCTCATGCTAGGCAGATTAATAATCAAACCACACACAACAACCTATGACCACTTCTTTTCAACACAGTTCTGGAAATCCTAAGAAGTAAGATAATAAAAAGGAAATAATGCCACGTACAAAGAGGAATAATATATTATCATTTTTGTGGATGACATGGTTGTTCAAAAGAAACTTTGAAAGAAAATGGCAAACACTCTTAGAACTAAATAATAATCATAACAAGATTGTAGGATTAAATTTTAATACTCAAAAGTTGATCGCTTTTTAATATATAAGCAATGACAAAGTGGAAATTATTTCAAATTATAAACAAATGCCATTTATATTAGCATCCTCAAAGTGAAGAATACTGGTATTAAGAGTTTATGTACAAGATATAGCTGAGTAAAACACACAAAACTCTGATGAAAAGAATCAAAAAAGAAATAAATGGGGAGATCTGCAATGTCTACAAATAGAAAGCCTTCATCCCACTTTGATTTATGGCTTCAGTATGATCTGGCCCAGATTTCAAGCATGATAGTTTGTGGATTATGAGCACTGATTCTGAAGTTTACACAGCCAGGAAAAAGATCCAGAAATTTCACACAAAATTTAAAGACAAGAACACAGGTGAAGGACTCATGTGATGTAACTTCAAGACTTTCAAAGTAGATGGAAGATTAGTCCATATCACCAATCCGATACCACTAACAGCCAAAACACTGACAATATGAATGAGGATAGAGAGAATCAAGGAATCTCATTCATTGTTGTCCATTAAAGGTATGGATGCCAAAAGAAATTCATCACAACCATTTTACAAAACATCTACAAGATCATATGGAAAAAATTAAATTTAACCTTTATGTACCTCATACACAAAATTCAGGCAGGTTACAAGTAATAAACAGCAATAAAGCTTATAGGACAGTAACTCCTTTGTACAACTACTTAAAGATAATAATTTTAAAGAAGAATGAATAAACTTACAAAAAAAAACCTTGCAGGCAATTATTTGAAAGAATATTTTTCTTTGGCATGGGGAGCAGAGGGGGTGGAGATGGGAAGGGATGGGAAGGGAAAACAAAGGAGGAGGCAACTATGCTTGATAAGAAATGTACTCATTACCTTGCCCATGTACCTGTAACCCCTCTGTACAGTATTTTCACAATTAAAAAAAAACTTAAGTGAAAAAAAGAATATCTTTATGTTGGGATTAGCTTTTGCCTCCTCTCTGTAGACTCAGAGAATAGCCATCCTAATGCCCGTCATGCTAGCCAAGCCTTGACAACCCAAATTTCTACCAACAACAGAATAATTAGTTTAATTTGGGCACGTGGTAATCGGGTCAACCCATGTGACACTCCTGTGCAGCAGCAAGAATGACTCCCATATTCACAAAGCAGTGCAGAACTCCCAATCCCCTTCACCCAAAGTTCTACAGCAGAAAAGCACTTATTTGCAATGCTCCGTGTTCTGACCCTGGTCCTGTCCCAGAGCGGGAGGTAGTGAGTGGGGAGGGGCGGGAAGGAGGAGCTGGAGTGGAGGGGGAGGGGGGAGGGGCAGGAGGGAGGAGCTGGAGTCCGGGGAGGGAGGGGCGGGAAGGAGGAGCTGGAGTCCAGGGGGGGAGTGGGGGGAGGGGCGGGAAGGAGGAGCTGGAGTGGGGAGGGGGGGGAGGTGCGGGAGGGAGGAGCTGGAGTGGGGGGGAGGGGCGGGAGGGAGGAGCTGGAGTGGGGGGGGAGTGGGGGGAGGGGTGGGAGGGAGGAGCTGGAGTCCGGGGAGGGAGGGAGGGGCGGGAGGGAGGAGCTGGAGTGGGGGGGGGAGGGGGGGAGGTGCGGGAGGGAGGAGCTGGAGTGGGGGGGAGGGAGGGGAGGGAGAGAGGAGCTGGAGTGGGGGGGGAGGGGGGGAGGTGCGGGAGGGAGGAGCTGGAGTGGGGGGGAGGGAGGGGAGGGAGAGAGGAGCTGGAGTGGGGGGGGGAGGGGCGGGAGGGAGGAGCTGGAGTGGGGGGGAGGGGGGAGGGGTGGGAGGGAGGAGCTGGAGTGGGGGGGAGGGGCGGGAGGGAGGAGCTGGAGTGGGGGGGAGTGGGGGGAGGGGCGGGAAGGAGGAGCTGGAGTGGGGGGGGAGGGGGGGAGGTGCCGGAGGGAGGAGCTGGAGTGGGGGGGAGGGGGGGGAGGTGCGGGAGGGAGGAGCTGGAGTGGGGGGGGGGAGGTGCTGGCAAGGCTGGATATCCTGACCTGAAAAGGAAAGGACACTTCCACAGTCACTGCACCTTCCTGCTCTTATGCTGCACCAAGACAGAAATAAGGCTAAGGTAAGTAAGGGACAGGGTCAGCAATTCCACACCTCAAAGGCCCTTTTCTCACCCTATTTAATGCACCATGAACGTTACAGAGCTTGTGAGATGATGTACTCGTATCCCATCATTTCCATGTAATGAAATGGGGTCGCCGGAAAGGTCTGATTGTTTGCTGAAATGAAATCCTTCCTAGATTATGAGTCAGGACCAAGCAACACGTACATTGCCATCCCTCCGCGGTCCTTCTGGTGGGTGGTCTTGCCCCGTCTCTACTCTACTCTTCAGTCAAACAGGCTCTGTGGGACTACACTCAGCCATGGCTTGCTTGTTTTCCTTTTAAGAACATAATAGAGCCCAGAAAGATGAGAAGTGACATGGATTGTGTCCATTATAAGAAAAAAACCTGCGTGTGGAACTTTGGGGTGTGGCCTGCTTTCTTGTGCACAGCGGTGGCACGGAAGGTAGCAAGAGGCCCACGAACTCCTCAAACTTCCCGTCTCCCACGGGCCCACCCTCCTGTGAACTGACACCCACCCCACCCCCCACGCAACCAGAGGTGCGGCGTGTTTTCTAGTCGGTAGGACATGACTCAAATTGCACAAAAAACAGACTGAAAGTGAGCCCAGGTTGTCATGAAATGTAAAACGAAGGGCTCTAGTTCGCCTAAGTCACAGACCTGCCAGGGCCGACGTGAGTAACTGCAATGAGGTTTGTGTTTTTCAGTAGAAAAATGACACACAGCTTCATTGAACTGACTGATGCATTTCTCCAAATAGCTGGCCCTCATGACTCTACCAAGAAGGAAGAAAAGTGTTGACAAGTTCGGGCCAATTAACTTCTCTTATTATATATATTTTCCATCTACCACATGCGAGGCTGCTAATAGCAGAGGCCGAGTCATCTTTAAGAGCTGGCTACTCATTCTTACTCACTGCTGGGCCTGGGTCCCAGCAAGCAGCTCACCGGTGGAGGCTCTCAGGCTATTTTGATTACTTGGAAATCAGAAAGTCAGAAAACATGGGAAATAAGGCAGGCAGCCCTGCGTGCAGCAAGTGAGCAAATCAGCTATATTTCACGAGCTACAGGAATGCCCACCATGCAACTGGTTTTAGAGTAGAATAAACCTTGATATTGAATTGACAATGAGAAAGTTCCTTTGGGGAATTTAATGTTTAAAAATCCTGAACAAATATAAGAGGCCAGAAAACCTTGCATATTTGCATATGATTATGAAGAGCAAGGAAATTAGCCAACCCCTCATAAACAAAGTTAGACCAATGAATTGCTGAAGTGTTTTAGTGGTGGAAATAAAAACAAGCCAGAACACCTCAGTATTTAGCTAGCTTCAGTAGCATAGGTCAAAGAGGGCTTTTAATTCTGGAAATGTTAATCATAATTCTGAAAACTCCATTCTTATTTGAAGATTACACACCACTCTGAATGTCCTCAAACAATTCTTCTCTGACTATGTAAGTTATTTCCCCATGAATCTTCCCTTATATTTTCTGGCAATGTCAAACTTTTTTTGGATACTCATGATGCTGGCTCACACTGCACACCCAAATTTGCATCTCCTCATTTTCCAGGCTGTAGGAACATGATTCAAAATACAAAAATATTGATATACTATTCTTACAACCTTTGACTTGCAAGAAACATTTTCAAGTTTCTGAGAAAAGGACTTAGAAAGTGATAGAAAAAAAATATGGATAACAAAAATTCCAGATTTTCTTTGTTAATACAATTAGAGCCATATGAGCTTAAAGATATATAGATTTCTTTCCTCACACTAAAAACAATGCACATAGCTTCAACAAGCATCTAAAACACTTCCTTCCCACTCAGGAGACTTGGTAATACTACATGCAAATAACAATATTATATATGTACACCAACATGTCATGTCAGTTGTAGGACAGTGTTAACACTGTCTTTCCAGAAGAGAAATAAAGCAAGGTGTAATCCAGTGTGCATTCCTAGAATACAAGTTTATATTATCCAAAAAATTTCCACTCATGTGCAGCATCACAGCTGGAAGTAGTCAGCTGAGGAAAGACCAAGCTGAAGGCTTAGAGGCCTAGAAGGTATTGGACCAGAAGGCTGGGATGGACAGGTGAGGTAGCAAGGCGGGCAGCCCAGCCATGGGCGTGAGTGTCCACCGGAATCTCCCCTGCATCACACGCAGGGAAAGTCCTACAGAAGCGCTTGCCGGTCCTGCTCAAGTTGTGTGCTGGAAACTGAATGGCCTGATTTGTACAAGAGGAAAAAAGAATGAAAAGTAATTCTGCTAAATAAATATAAGAAGAAAAGAAAATAACAAAAGAAGAAATGGAGAGGGGAGAGAGAGGAAGGGAAGAAGGAATGGAAAGACAAGGAGAGGAATGGAGAAAGGGAGGAAGGAAAGATGGAAGGGAGGAGGGAGAGAGAAGGAGGAGAGACAGGTAGGCAGGAAGAAACGGAGGAAGAGAAGAAGTGACAAAGTAAGAAATACACTGACTACTTCCTATAGCTTCCCAAAGTTCTCTACAAGTGAACTGGTTCTACAATAAAAATTTTCTGAAAACTTTTCCTGTAGAAAGTTAAGGGACAAGATAAGGCTCATATACTCAAGATTTCCTGCCTAAGGAGGAATGTATCTTGGCCAAATAGTTATGCATTGTCATTGTGGACACAGAAATACACTGGCTAGAGCTTGTGTTCTTATTCTGTCCAGATCCCTCGTCATAAACATGAGGATTGTTTCTCAATATTAAATGTGAGTGCTGTGCCTTTGATCTGGTAAGTGATGCATGGGGCTCCTCTCTCCGGCTGGGAGGTCAGGCTGGTGTATTGGGCCGGAAGGCAGTGTCTGGAAAAGTCCTGAGAGTCTGGGACGGACCATTCTGGGATGCAAGTCTTAGACGCCTGACATCAAAGGCACCGAGAGATGGCAAAACAACCGCGGGAGATTCATACCTTAAAAATCTGTGCAGGTACTGGCGACTGCAGGGCGACCAGGAGAAGACCCCGTTCCGTCCAGCCAATGTGGGGGACATGATGTTGCCCTCGGACTTTTTACACATGTTCCCTTCCCCATCGTGCACCATGCCAAAGCTACAGAAGGGGAGAGAGAGAGAGAGAAGGGTCACTCAGCACCAAGAACAGCCGCCGTACGCACGGAGCCAGGCTGCCTCAAGTACCACTCGAGACTATGAAGATGCTTCCAAAGCTGCACAATCAACAGGTGAAAATCAAAGTGCTAACATCCGGACTGTTAGTCCTTGGGCACTCAGGGGCCTTTCCTGGGGAATGACCCGTCAGTGGTCCCCTCCTCAGGCAGCATCATCCGCCCTCTTCTCCCAGACAGCACCGCGCACTGCCTGAGGAGGGAAGCAGCAGGCGTGGGAGGTCTACGTGGCTCTGCAGACCTCCACAAAGGTCAGTCCTTCCTGGAGAGCAGTCCTTGTTGGCCTGCACTGTCCACTTTTCAGTCACAGGATGGACTACTTGGGTACAAAGATCTAAAGGAGATATATTCAGGGAATGAGCCACAGAGAAAGGCAGGGGGAGAGAAAGCCAAGAGGAAGGTGGTTACCGGGCCTGAGGTGCTCTATGCAGACCCCATGATGAATAGAGGGTAGGTGGCAGGGACAGGAAGTCGCCAGGTAGAGGAAAGAAACTAGAGGATCTACTTGTTGCTGAGGCTGGTCTCCTTCAACTGAATGTTTGCCTCAGAACCGCGTAATGGTGCAGTTCAACTTTACGGGCATGAGGTTCAGCATCTGAGCTCCGTGTTCTAAGGTACACCTCGACAGCCCCGTAAGGGGGGCACGGTGTCGTAGAAGGAGCTCTGAGTCTCCGTCAGGACCAGGCGGACCCAGGCAAGGGTGTAAGCCCAGCTGACTGGAAGCTGTATCCATGGAGATCTGGCAGGCCCATGTTGTCAAATGTCTGCAGGATTCCTGACTGGTACCAAGGGTGATGTGGATGTGGTCATCTGAGCCTCCACCCATCCTCTGATGTTCTGTGGAAGGCAATTGATCAAGGCCAAGGCAGCCATATGGCCGGGGGCGGGTGCCACTGCCCTGAGAAGGACGGGGGCAGGGGAGGGGAATGCAGTGGAAACCAGTCGCCCCCCACGCGCCTCTCCCCACCCCCCCCAGTTCCTCAGTGAAGCAGACGCTTCAAGGTCCAGCAGAGGGACTAGATACATTTGCTGCCATCACGACCTATGTTTCTAAATAATTCCAAGCAACCATGCCTCAACTCTGGGGCTATCTTGCTTTTCAAGTTTTTCACTTAAGGTATTTTCCATGATTTTATCTAGCATGAAGTTTCCAACTCTGCTAGCCGTTAAGACATCTGAGAAATGCACTAAACCATCTGGTGCCCCAGAGGTGCCGCGGGAGGTTTTCTGGTGGAGTCACAGGTTGGGGGTTTGGATCTGGCTGTCTTCGATGCCATGCGACGGGCGGTGAACAGCCTGTCAGCACCCACGTCACCGCTGTAGATGGAGTGATTCCCTCAGTACCCCATGCACAGATCGTGACATGATTAAAAAAATTGTCCATTGGCACAAAACTGCCACACGGAGATCGCACTTGATGTTAACATTGACAAAGCACAGAAGGAAGAGTAGGACACATCTTGAAGACCAGGTTGGTATCGGAAGCCAACAAATAAAAATTCCCGTTCCTGTTATACATGCCAGATATATTTTGTGCCTGCATACTGTAGTACTCTAATGAATACAGCTTGCACTTCATCCACTAATCAATGTGTCTTCTCTCCTTATGCTTAATCATAAGAGCTGAGTCTCACCCATGCCATAGCCCCACGGCCAGCAAACTCAACAGGGTCAGCAGTTTCCACAGTGATGTTTGTTCACTGCATTAAGCACAACCTTCCATTTACAACACAGACCCAAGGGCAAACCGAACTTCAGATTGAATGCTATCTGTGAGAGAGAGTCAATGCCAGATGCTTTCAGTGACAGCCACAATAAGATCAGAAAGAGGTAATTAACCTCCAGAGAACATTTTTTTAACTCATCACTAGTGACATACCAGGTCAGGAACTGGCAAGCGGTTTAAGAATACACATGGATTATTTCAGGCTGTTCTCTGTGGTGAAGGAAATTAGATTCCCTTTCAAGGAGCAATGGACCGATGTCACCTGGGTACCTGGGGTAATGTTGGCAACCTCAGGTAGGAAGATGCCCAGAGCCTGCGGCAGGCTTCCTGGGAGCCATGGCTAAACGTCCACCACAGGTGGATGCTAAGATGGAGTCACGGGTGAGGCAGGAGTCAGGGGGCCGCCAGGAGAAGTCGGTGGGAGACAGCAGGGGCTGCGGAGATGGCTGTGGCACTCAAGAGCTGTTTGACCTTGGCTTAGCTGTTCAAGCTGCTCAGCCTCAGTGTCCTCATGAAAAAAGGGAGATGAATAATAAAATAAAAGCCTCTCAAGAAACTACAAAAAATAACGCAACTTGGCTACGTAAGTTCATAAAGGAAAATTCAGAGTATCTCTTTCCTTGATGGAAATACGATCATGATCACATCAGCCAGCAAGCAGAACTCATTCACACATGGGTGTGCTTGTGTGTGGCTGGCATAGGGGAAGGGCTGGCCGGAAGCAAGCTCTAATACTTTTCAGCATGGAAACAAACACTCTTGAGAGGAAGGATAATAGATACAAATGGGGATCTGATGGTGTGAGCCCAGGATCCCTGGAGGACAGTGACGGAAGCAGCCCGGACAGAGGTCCAGAGAGCTTGCTCTCATAGTCTAAGGTCCCTGAGTGCCTTCTCCCCCTGGTGGAAGCATCCAGGCTGAGGACAGAGCAAAGCCTGCGCTGGGGGACTGCAAACACGGGGTCAGCATCCCACGTCATCTGGAAATCCACGTGAGTGAAGTGGAGCTGTCACCTAGCAGGCTGAGGTGTCCACCTGCTTCTTTGAAAACCTCCCTAGTCCCTGGGCAGTGTCTTACAATGCCCCACCTGCTTTACCTGACCCTTTGCATGGCAAATCTCTTTCTGAAGAGCATGGATCTTTTTATAAAACCCTACAGAGCCCCTGGCAGGCATATTGTGCTGGTGAATAAGTCAACCAACTCAGGGGAAGAGTCGTAAGGGTAAGTCATGAATAGCTCAAGCACAGGCAGATGTTTGGACAGAGACTTACTGTTCTGAAATGATAACCTTCGTACCTGCACATAGTGCTGGCTGTGCCCTGTGGCTCGAGAGAAGAGGAACCCGGGTGATAGCCGGTAAGTGATGCTCCCTGCTGGCTGTAAGGCACAGGAATGCTGGGTTGTGTCTGCTGTCTGAGCCCCAGGGCTCTGCCTAGCGCAAGGCCTGGCTTCCCAGAGCAGATCAGAACTTTCCACTGACTTCTCACCCAATGACATAGTCTCCAAAAGGTGCAGCTCAGTAGAACACTGGTGGCTCACCCTATAATCCTAGTTACTCATATCTGAGGATCCTGGCTCAAAGCCAGCCTGGCAGGAAGGTCTGTGAGGTTCTTATTTCCAACTGGAAGTAGAGCTACAGCTCAAGTGGTAGGGCATCAGCCTTGAGCACAAAAGTCCAGGCCCTGAGTTCAAGCCTTGGAAGTGGTACACACACACACACACACACACACACACACACACACACACACACACACACACACACACACACAGAGTGTGTGCATCTCAGTCCTTGGTGTATCTGTATCAATTCTTCAAATCCTATATCTAGCAAATGCATTCTGTGTATGGGGATTTCACAAAACCAGCAGGCTCCTTGGATGGCTGGTGCAGTAGCAGCCTACCTGTGCCTGTACATCATGGAGAATACACATCTGAATTCTAGCTCCAGCCCCATCTCCATTCCAACACCCATCCCAGCCCTGTCCTTGACACTGTCTTCTGCTTTTCAGCCAGATTACCCAGCATAAAATACAAGATGTTTAAAATGAAAATAGTTAAATGTAGTTGAAGGAGCTGAAATGTCCTTGAGTTGAAGGTCAGGAGTCTGTACTTCCCGGTGTGGCAGATGCTCCTCTGTCCAAGCCACGGCCTCCGGATGGGGCCAGGAGTAACAATCTGCCTTTGAAGCAGGATCTCTAGTGATTTTCATAATAAAAGTCCTAACAGATGGGAGCTTAAAGGACTTTTTCATTCCTAAGAATCAGAACTCGAAAATTTTAGTTTGCTTGCTGCTCATTGCTCCGGCTGCTCATTCTCATACACTGGCAGTGCACACGGCCTGTCGCTCAGGAAAAGCACCCTAAGGGCTCGGGCTAGGTGTAGGCTTCTCCGAGTTTGAGTTCCAGAAACTTTTCTAAAAGTAGTTTGTAACAAACAAGTACAGCTGTGGTCATTGGTGCTGTTACTCGGACTGCTCCTCCGGGAACCCGGTGGCATGTGCAGACGCGCCCTGTGCTCCCGTGTGACCTGGGCTACCACGCGGACGTGGTCTCCTCAGTGCCTCAGCTCTCTGTCTCTTGCACAGCACCCTCTACACATGGGGTTCAGGAAGGACCCTGTAATATCTAGAGGTCAAATCTGCTAACAAAGGGCACGCACTGTCGGGACAGGCAGCTCCTGGATTAACTTCATATACATTCCCACTTTCAAATGCAAGTACTTCCCCCTTGTTTGGAGGAAATTCTTTTACAACAAGCCCAGTGTGAATGAGGAAAGGCAATATTAGTAACTGGCTTCTGAATAAATGCAAAGCTAGTTTGGGCTATCTGGAGTTTGTCTTTGGTTGTGTTTCCTGCCTGCAAAGGCTAGCATGACAGCCATATCTCAATGGCTTATCAAATGCTGACAGGGGCATTTGGTGCCTTAAACAGTTCTTGACTTGATTGTTTAATTAAATTCAGGTATGGTTCAGAGGACACCAAGAGCTTCGTATTATTACAATAATGAAAGTTTTTGAAGTTTAAATGTAGCACACTATTAAGAATACAATTTTGATTTAGTTGAAAGCCTTGTAAAGTGTATGTACAATTTTCTGAGCAATGAAGTAGTCAATCATTATCTACAAGGATCAGTAGTGGGTTCACAGCCCATTACCGGGAGGCCCAAGCCTCCCGGGCCTCCATGAGACTCTTCAGAGTAAAGGCTCACGCAGGCACACATCTGCATGCACACAGACTCGCGGTGCATGCATGTGTTTGTACACACACACACACATACACACATGGAGAGCAATGCCTGGAAACGGACAAGGTGACTTCAGTCTGTGACCACTATCCCTTTTCCCATGAAGGACGGTGAAACTGGTTTTTCAAAACAAATCATTTAAAGGAATTTTAAATTCCTATTGCCAGCTAAACTGTATTGAGAGTAAAACAGTGACAGAAAGAATTGGATTTCAAGTCCAGGATCAACAGACCGGAAATCACTTTCATCACGACCGCTGGCCTCTGTGGTCATCTGGACTCCTGCAGAGAGGCTAGGCCTGCTGGGACAGCAGCAAGACCTTCGTGTTTATTTTAATAGTCAATGACTCCAGGCAAGGTGGAACAGGGATCCACTGGCCTATGAGCTCTTATCTAATGACAAGTATGAATGCAGACATTGTCTTATACGGAGAGGATGCCAGTGACTTCGCCTCCTTGCTGGGACCTGGGTTCCTGGGGGATGGGACGTTCCAGTGGAACGTGCAGGCTGGGGCCTAGCACTTGCCCCTCCACGTCTCCACGTGAGCCTTTGGGCTTGAGGCTCAGCTTGATGCTGCCTCCTTTGACGATCAGCCACAATGAAATCAGAGGCGGAAGATGGAAAAGCCCTATGAGGCCATCTTCAGTCAGTACACACGTTCCCTAACTACGCTCTCCTACCTGTCAAGAGCAGTTCCTCTATAAATCACACACACACACACACACGGACACAGACACAGACACGGACACACACACACACACACACACACACACACACACACGGACACGCACATGGACATAAAATCAATTCCCATAACCACTCATACCCGATGGCTGGCTACTGTCTGTCCTCAACCTTTTGGAAAATGAGAATGACCAATGGGTCAGTCACATGACAGAGGAGCAGAAACAGAAAGAACCGTTCCCCGCCGTAGATGTGAAGAGCAATGGGAGGGAAGCTTGGAGGGAGGGAAGGGTAAGTCTGCACCCCGGGATGGCTTTGGAATGTGCTCCAAAAGACAAGAGCCCCAGGCTCCACCTGTCCCGCCCCCACCTGGGGATGGACTTACTTATGGCCAGATTCGTGGGCGATGGTGAAGGCCAGTCCCAGCCCCGTGTCTTCGTTAATGGTACAGCTGCGGTATTTACTACACATCCCACTGATAGGTGCAAATCCTGTGCGACATTAACATTAAAAGAATATAGAACAATATAACAAAATAAATCATGGCAAGTTTGTTTTCTGTCCTGGAAAATAAAAACAAAATATGAGCTATGCCGTGGTAGGAGAACCACGTAACAGACACCGGATGGTGTGGGAGGGGGACCCGTGTAGGAAGGGGATTCATGATTCTGGGCGAGGGTCCTGACCCAACAGGACACGCACTGAACATGATGGGTAACATCTTCCTTCTGTGATCATGTCCTCTCTGCCCCAGAGGAAGAGTCTGTAGAGAATGGGTGGGTGGAGAGTTCCCCAAGACTGCCTCGATTCACACTTGTCATGATGAGGATTTGTCATGTTCACAGATATGATTTACTGTGCTGAAAGGGCACAGAGCAAAGCCAGCCACGCATAAAGGCACATGGAGTCTGGAGAGACCAGATGTGAGCGGCGCTGGCATGCCCACAGCTCAGAAACGGGATAGGAGAGCACATGAATTGTCTCCCTGGGGCGTCTGGAACTTGGGGTGCAGGGATTTTGAGGTCTGGTCCACCACACACACCCGTCCACATTCCAGAAGGAAGTCAGGTGCGAAGCGAGAGCCATTTTAGTTGAGCAGTGTAGGCACAGGTGCCACTGTGATCAGTTAAAGTCCCGAGAACTACCCTTAAATCCCAGTCTCCTTAGGCCAGCGGAAGTCTGATCTAGTCCCCAGTCCTCCTTAAGGACAGCAATGAGGCCGCTATGCAATCTCGGTCCTGAAAAACAGAACCAACCTCTATGAGATTAGGTATTATCGAAAAGTGTTTGTAATAAGACGTCTTCCTCTCAGATAATTTGCAGAAAAAAATAGAGAAAAAATAGAGTGTCCTGTGAGGTCCCAGTGAGAAGCACAATATTACAATAGCCATTTGGAAGAATATCGAAGTGCTTCCCTGAAACACTAAAATATGGCTTCACGATGAATACTGAGAAAGTTATAGAGAAATGGGGAATATATATATATATATTTTTTTTTTGGTCAATCGTGGGGCTTGAACTCTGGGCTTGGGCGCTGTCCCTGTGCTTTTCAGCTCAAGGCGAGCGCTCTACTGCTTGAGCCACAGCACCACTTCCGGTTTTTGAGGGGTTTATTGGAGATAAGAGTCTCACAGACTTTCCTGCCCAGGCTGGCTTTGAACTGGGATCCTCAGATCTCAGCCTCCTGAGTAGCTAGGATTACAGGCATGAGCCACCAGTGCCCAGCAGGAATATAATATTATTGCAGTATATCTACCAATATCTGTAAATGGAGTATTTGTGTCACATTGTGTGGCATCTGACAAATGGTAAGAGAAATGAATGGAAATATTTCCTATTGCCAATGAGAAAGAAAATCTTGACTCTATGAGGAACTTTTTGTTCCATAGCTATTCTTTTTTTTTTTTTTTGTCTGTCATGGGGCTTGAACTCAGGGCCGGGGCACTGTCCCTGTACCCTTTTTCTCAAGGCTAGCACACTACCACTTTGAACCACAGCACCACTTCTGGTTGTCTGGTGCTTAATTGGAGATAGGAACTATCAATCCTGCCTTCTAAGTAGCTAAGACCACAGACATGAGCCACCAGTGCCTAGCTCCATAAATATTCCCAATGAATAAAAGCATACTTTTATATTTAGATAAAGTTTGTGTAGAAAGCGAGACTATTTCTTACAAATGTACTTCGTAGGAACTACTGGTTAGGGATATGGAACAGAACAAAATACTCAGTATACTATACTATCATGCCACTCCCCAAGAACACACACATGCACACTTGCATGCACGCACATGCACGCGTGCCCCATGCACACACCTGCAAACCTTGTGCACCATCCATCACACCACACCACTAGAGAACCTTACCCAATGTGTCACAGGGCTCATTCTTCCACGAACATATATCCAAACCGGTCAGTAAGATGGCGTGATCGTGGCGAGTTCCATCTTTTCCCATGAGTCCAGATTGCCACTGGCAGAAACTACTTAAAGTGCGGTCTGCGTGGTGACTTATCACCAGTCCTGGCTGTATGGGAGAGGCAAAGCCCAAAGAATGTGGAGAGAAAGCATGTTGTAAGGTTGTGCGTCATAAACTTTGATTTCAAGTACATAGGTGCATCTGTACCTAGACAGGCGCATAAACTAATACATGGGTTTCATGGAGTAAAATTCAAAGGTGGGTGTGGTACATAAACCTGTGCTTATGATAATAAACATGCATACGTGAAAATGGAACTAGGTAGGTGGAGAGGGCGGGCGGGCGTGGGAGGGCTGGGGGATGATGAAAGGGCTGGCACTGATCAAGATGCAGGTACTCAAAAGCTGACAGGTTGAATGGAAGCCTCTCTGTACAATTACTTAAGGATAATTTTTAAAAATAAGGGAAATAAATAAACCTGTCCGGGTTCAATTTAGTTTGTGAACTTTTCTGTACAGAGTCAATCAGAATGTATCCAACTACTATTGTGAGTGCATACTTAATGACTCATGAAGTAGAAGATAAACACATGAATTATTTGCATTCAGTAGCGTGCAACAGACCTTACTCAAGGATACAAAGTGACAAAGCAATTTCTGTGTGGCTTTGTGCATGCACACACATAACACACCTAGCCAGTGATCCCTTCACATGAGAACCGAACTGAGCAAGGGCCCAAGTGATCCCTCTTCTAATATTTCTTAATGCAGCATTAGTAACTTTCTTGTAGCTGCAGCGTGTTCCTGTGAAGCAATAGGTGGATTTGTAATGCTGCATTTCTGGAAGAGGAACTTCAACGAAGAGGAGCAATACTGAGGGTATTCACTGAGTGAAGAGTGAACCATCAGAGTGAAGACCATGTGAACTCATGGGAATGGAGAAGTTGGAGGGTAGCAAAAATTCCCATTTATAAGTCCATTATAGTTTCCAGAGCGTGGCCAGAGATCATTAAGTTAAACACCTCAATTTCAGCATAGCATCTTATCAAAAAAATTTCACTGCTGTGTCTTTCAGTCCCCAAATGTATTTTCTCTTTAAACTTTATTTTGTTTTCCCACAGTCAAATGCTCTAACCAGGCACATGCCGATGCCCTCAGCAGGCCATTTCCAGAGCAACTGCATTAATTAAAGTTAACACAGGTGTATGATCAAACGATAACCTCGCTGGTTCTTTGCTGCTTGGATGAATTCCCAGGTGAAAACGTTTTAATACAAAGAATAATTAACCTGTCACCTGAGAAGCCCTGTGCGGTCAGCTGCTCCCTGCAGCTCCGACCTCACAGACACACAAAAGACAATGGGGCTGGGGCCGAATCCTCCCTGACCAGTCAGGCTGGATTCAGCCCGGTGTGCACCCTGCTGCCTGCACCCCACCCTGCACAGCAAAGAGGGGCAGCCTCTACATCTCCGGAGTCACGTCCAGGTGCCTCTGAAAGAATTCGTGCCTGATGAGCAAGGAAACCGGGACCCATAGGGAATTCTGAAGGCATCATCACAGGCGAGAGAACAAGGGGTTGCCTAACTTGGGTCCAGTACCCACTCTTCTTGAAGAGTCAGTGAGCAGCTTAAGGAGAACAGAAACCAGACCCTTGTATGGCTAAGAACGCTGCCCAGTGCTCGCTGTGAACCGAGCTGCACCTGTGTAGGCCCAGGTGTGGGACGTCACCTGCAAGCTCTAATCGGCAGTTAGAAAGCAGGAAGAGAGCTCTGCTTAGCCTCCCAGGGTGGCTACCAGAATGCAAATCCAACACTGAAGGGAGAGAGTGCTATTGTGTCCAACTCTGGAGTCAGAGGCAGCCGAGAGAAGCAAGGCAGGGCCACGCAACCCACGGGCTAAAGTGGCTGTTCTATTTTTCCCCCTAGCGGGTGAAGTATATTCCTTACTATCCATGCACAAAGAATGACAAGAAAAAACACACATGAAAGAGATGGAAAGAAGCTTCTTCTAGGTACAGAATATTGAACACTTCCTACTCTACAGGAAGGAGAAAACACAATAATGATCTAAATACACAGAGGGAGCATATAAAGCCAAAAGAATTACTTTGCACGTATTCTTCCTGGGAACAAACAAGACCAACTGATTCCAAAAATGGAATACCTGTTCGTCTTCTAGAAGAATGAGCCCTACAATGGCTATGTTGATGTTTCCTCCTATGGTCCCATCCTTGAACAAGGCAGACACCTGAAACAGACAGAAAAGCAACATCAGCTCCAGACAGATCAGCCCTGTGGTAGCCAGAGTCACACCAAGGCTCCAAGCCCTCGACTTGCAGTGACAGCGGTGTTAATTGTCTTATATATCTAGGCAGTCACAAAGACCTGACTCCCAATTGTTGAAGCCTTATTTTGGCTACTTGGAAGTAAAAGCTGAAGTCTGAGGTAAGTGTGGGGAGGATTCCCCTGACATCAAACACTAATGAGACAATTGATTACAGAACCTGATTATTCAGTGTCCTGGTGGGAGTTTAAGGAAATGGGGTCATCTATCTATCTATCCATCCATCCACCCACCCATCCATCCATCCATCCATCCACTTACCTACCTATCATGTATCTATTTATCCAAGCAGGGTTTCTCTATTTAACTTGGTCTGGCCTTGAACTCATGATCCTCCTGTTCCTGTTTCTGAAGTGCTGGGATTTTAAGGCTGAGTAACCAGGCCAGACTGGGAGCATTCTTTAACTCATAATGGTGATATGCACCTAGGGAGCATGCTCAAGCTCTCCTGGCAAGGATTCCCACAAGCACACGAGGACGGTCTAGAATAAGACCATGTGAACACAAGAAAGAAAGAAGAGAGAATGCGATAGGAAGAAAACACAAGGAAAGCGAGATCGAGAGGCCGGGCGGGTGCAGCCATGGGACTGTTGACCAGAGTGAGCAGGGTGAGGACCTGAGACACTGCAACTGCCACCAATGCGACATTTGGCCCAGAAATAGAGACAGGACAAAACCCCAGAGTCAAGGCGGGCACAGCCGCAGACCTGAGGCACAAAGCCTCACCCCAGGGCCGCTCCACGTCCCCACTCCCCGGGGACCCTGGGGGTCAGTCCATCAAAAGCAATTTTGGCATTGATCATATAGCAGCTTCAGGAAAAGATACATCTGGGGCACCATGCCTACGGAGGTGGAACTTAGAACGTGCGAGCAAATACAGTCATTCCTCTACCCTGACTCGTACGTCTCTCTCTTACTCGGACGACGCTGGGTTTGATCTGCAGGGCTCTGGACTGCAGCCCCAGGCCGTGGGGTCTCATCTGTCCTTTCATTTCCCCAGTAATCACCACAGCTGCAGCCAAAGACAGCCTTCATCCGGGAGGATGTTTCTCAGTTTCAACACTCCTCGAGGGAGGGGTGGATGTGTCGGTGTGGTCCTCCCAATCACTTACGCTGACAAAGGTGCAGATGTACCGCACTCCATCTCAACCTTCTCCTAGCACACACAGTATCTAGGAGCTCAAAACACCCGACAGGACAGATTGCAGAGACCCATTATGTCCCCCCTTTGTTATTCCAAAGTTCTGAGTACATCTTTGGATTGGACCACAGTAAAACTAAGAGTTGAGACAGGAAATGTTTCTTCCATGAGAGACACAGGTGCACCAGGACGGAGTGCAGGCGGGGCGCAGCCTGGCGTGTGTGTGGGGTGGGGGGCCCGCCTACCATGTTGAGCACGGTGAGGACGTAGGTGGTGATGTTCCCATGGCCATGGTTCCGCATCATCCTGTTGTCCACCACCACCAGCGTCTCCACGTTCAGCTCGTCCTTTTGAGGGGACTTGAGGGGAGAGCGCTTGTGCCTCAGGCCCGGCTGGTACTCGTCAGGTAAGATGAACAGGTCTTCTGAGGGAGGCTGGGGCATGTCTGTGAGGGGACGAATTAAAGAGAATATCGTCACTCCAAAACCAAGGTGGTGGCACGTGCCTGCAATCTGAAACCCAGCTCCAGGGCAGCAGAAGCAAGGGGACCATGCCGGCTTGGGCTGCACAGTGACGGTCTATCTGCATCTCTCTCTGTAGATAGGTACCTCTGCGTATCTACATCTATACTTATAAATAGATACCGCTACAGAGAGACAATGAATATAAACCTAGAGGGCAGTAAACAGATACACAGACACGTGGACAGCTACACAGATAGATGTACAGATAGATGATTTATACCAGATAAATACATAGCTGATAGATAAATAGATACAAAGATAGATGATTAAAAAGTTTGGAAATGAGGGAGTGGGTAATACAGTTCAAAGAGAAATGTACTTATTACCATAAATGTGTAACTGTATATCACCTTTGCAATAAAATGTTTTTAAAAAGTTTGTCATGCAAAACATTAAATACAGCTGTATAATGCAGGTATCAGGGTAACCAGTGCTGCAATTTTCTGTAATATTATTTTGTTGTGATTTAGAACAAGATAGGAACCTCTTTGGTGGTAAGTCCTAATAATTGGAAATACAATATCCAAATATAGAAACACGGGATTTGTGGAACAGGGTTCTTCAATAGAATAGCGAAAAGCAATATGACTAAAAGTTAAATGGAAAGGTGCTGTCTTGCATTTTTCCCTTCTAAAGACTTTTGGTGATTCTTTTTAAAGTTGATGCCATGCATGGACACAAAGCTGGTTTGCCAATATTGTTTTCAGTGTGTTACAAACTTCTTGCAGCATCTGCACTCAGTGAGGATTTCATTTCTCAGAAAGTACCATGCATACTTACCTAGAAAACAGCACATTCTGCCCTTGTGAGGTAATTCCTTTGTAAAATTTTTTTTGTATTTAAACCCATTTATATCACATTAAAGCAACCAGACTTAGTGGATACCAGAGAAAATGAGTTTAGAGTTGTTGCATGGGAAAGCAAGAATTCTACACAACCCCACACTGCCAATCACCTATGAGTCACACTGAGCAGATGCTATTTGTCTGACTGACAGTCACAGCCAGGGTATTTTATTTCTCATACAGCTGGGATATCTCTAATCCAAACATCTAAATTCCAAACCTATCCAGAATCCAATCACTTTGAGTGCTGACTTGAAGTCCTGAGTGAAAAATTCCACGCTTTCTCTCTTACAAGAAACCCTAGTTGAAACACATGTACCCTGAAAACATTATATAAAACTGCCCTTGGGCAATGCCTGTAATGTCTGTAGGAAGTATATGATTTTGAGCTTAACTTTGAATCCTGTTCCCAATATATCACACTAGGTTCATATTAAAAAAAATTTAAATTCCTACTCAATAGAATCCTTGAAAACGATTAGAACTGGTGACAATTCAAATATGAAGCAGTTCAGGTCGGAAGTATGTCACCTAAGGAATACCCAACCTGCACCTTTGACTTGGGTGAACCTGTGGGAGAGCCACAATGGCACTGGCCATCTGCACTCTCTGTCCATAAACACAAAATCCTCACTGCCACAACCTGTCTTTGTGTCCATCACGGGGCGACCACCAGCCCCTTGGGGGGGGGGGGGCGTCAAGCAGGCAGAGAGAACAGATGTAGCCTGCTCTTTATCCCTCCTCAGAAAACATGGGCAAGGGTTCTGAAGTCTGGGTGGAGTGATCTGAGCGTCCCTGGACTTCCTTTCTGCAGATGGAGAAACGTGAGTTGAGTACAGGACACGGAAGAAGGAAGGACAGCACCAGGTCCTAGTGATAGCACAGGAGCTCTCCGCTCTCACTACCCAGGGCTCTCACAAGCCCTCCAGAGCAGATGCTCACCGTCAGGATGGGACTCAGAGCACAAAAGCATGTCAGTACCAGCTTATGCCACCATTGGCTGATGCCAGCAGCTGAGGGGCAGAAGAAGCCTTCATCAGCCTGGGACTCAGTCAACCAACTTTAACAAATCTACCTGCTCCCTGTGGAGCTTTTCCATAGACCGCTACTTCAGTGAGCACTGAGGACACACTTTTTGCCGGAGTGTCTGATAGAAAGGAGTGTTCTGCGAACAAACTTCTCCAAGGCAGGACCAGCACCACCAAGAAGGTCAAAGCAAGTGGGACTGAGTTTTCTGTATTCATTTGAATGTAGCACAGGACCTCTGTTTTATTTACAGGATGAATTGGGTTCTGATGCCCTGCAGGCACTGAGAATCTGAGAGTCCTTATCTGCTGAGGTGCCAAGTCATTCTCATCCATCCCTCTTTTTGGCCAAGGTTTACAGAGCAGCAGCCATAGCTTCAGGTCTGCTTCGGGAGGTGAGTCAAGAGACTTCAGCCTTTGAGGATGGGCATGGGGAAGCTCCAAGGGCCCATGTGAGGATGTAGGAAGGTGAGAGGATTCCAGAAAGCTGTGGTTTCTGGAAGGTGAAGAGTTTCCACATAAAACGCAAACGACCGAGCCCCTCCTGCTCATGACAAAGAACAAGATTTCTAGAAATCTGGGTGACAAATGTCAGGTAAAGTATACCCTGCATCGTCTGGCCTTTTGATGTTTTGATGTGGTGGAGTGAAGCATGTAAATATGTATATAGATAAATTACCTCAGCAGGAAAACTATAGGGGTTTTTAATAACTCTAAAACCTCAAAAATATAGAATTACTCAGTAAAAATACCAGAATTCTTCTGACAATATCTGGCAGACTCTATCTTTCTGAGCCATGTGTCATTTAATCTGCCCAGGGAACAGTTCCTTTTTGAAAAAAATCTGAGCACTGTGTAGTCATCTTCTGTGAGGAGCTGTCTACAGGAGACCGTCAGATAATGCCTCTCTGAATCACTGCTTGAGAGCAGTAGTGACAGGCAGACATGTTTTCAAGAAAATTAAAGTTTTCCTTGGTCACACAAAGACACAAATCGCTAAGCAGACAAAGGAATCGCCCTTACATACATTTCTTGCGTCTTCCGCAGAAGTGCTGCTTTTGTGGGGGCCTGAGAGCATGCCTGTCCTCACGGAGGCTCTGGCTTGCCACCTCTCTCTTCCTGGCGACCATCAGGATCTCGTTGGCCTGGGGAGCCTGGGGCGCCCGGGGCTCGGTGGATCTCTTGTACAGCACGTGGGAGGGAGAGCAGGGGCCAGCGGGAGGACATCCACTGTGTGTCTCTGCGAGACTCGCAGGAAGTGGCTTCAGGAGATAGTCGGCTTCCTCTGTCCTTATCATGCCTGACTGGAAAAGCAGAGAGTCAGAGGAAACAAAAGACACAGTCACACTCCAGCTGAGACCTGGCCAGTCCTCCGCTCCCATCTCATACACATGCTGCTCAGGCCAGCCCGAGCATGTGCGGGAAGGACTCACACACCTGGGCTGAGACACGGGAAGGTTCCTATGCAGAGCTTCTGCCCTCTCCCCCGTGTCCCTGTGGACAACACTGCAGAGCAGAGCGTTGACTCGGACACAGCTGGCAATACCCCAAACTGTGGGTGAGTCAAGGAAATGTGCACAAACTTAGATGTTGGTTTTGGTAGAAAGTGCCAGAGAGAGAAAATTAGTATCCTAATGGCTCATTTTGCAAATTCCTATTGAAATGAATACAAAAACATTCAGAGAATGTGGTACTTTCCAGAAAAGTAAACTTAATAAAAATTATTCTAGAAGAAACCATTAAAGGACTTAGAGCATCAGAGGGAACTTTCTAAGTAAAGCGTTGGGGGATAGGGGAAATAAGTGCTTTTATAAAACACTAAAACATTCGTATTTTATAAATCATTTATACTGCATGGAGAAAAGTCGAAAGCTTTCTCTCTAAGATCTGGAATAAACTAGGGCTGTCCCCTATCACCACCATTATCAACATAGTACTGGATCATTTGGTGAGAAATCAGCAAAGAGAAAATCAAATGCCTGTATGGAAAAGCAGTATGAAAACAGACCTTTTAAAATTCCTTAAGGACACTGGGCACAGGTGGCTCATGGTGATAAACCTAGCTATTCAGGAGGCTGAGATCTGGGGATCACAGTTTGAAGCCAGCCCAGGCAGAAGTCAGTGAAACTCTTAGCTCCTGTTAACCACTAAAAAGCCAGAAGTGAAGCTGTGGCTCAATTGGTAGACTGGTGGCTTTGAACACAAAACTCAGGTTTTGAACACAAACTCAGGGTTTGAGTTCAAGCACCAGGACTGGCACGTGCATGCGTGCACACATGTGCACACACACATACACACACACACAATTCCTCAAGGATACAAATTTGAGTGACAACCTTTTTACTTTTTAGAATGATAAACATTTAAAGCCTGATAATGCAATTGTTAGTGAGAAGAGGACAAACAGGCAAAGGTGGAAACTGAGGTCCTACCAGGAGGCTAGCTAGCATTAGAGCTATCCAACCCATTCATCAACATTGACAGCATACCATTCAGTTCTGGGATTTAAATCCTGAAAATCCTTGCCAAATAGTTCTTCTAATTATTTTTGTCTACATTTGAAAAATATGGCACACACATAAAAAGATTAATCAGGGCTGGGAAGGTGGCTCAGTGGTAGAGCACTTGCCTTGCATGCCTGAGGCCCTGGGTTCGATTCCTCAGCACCACATAAGCAGAAAAAAAAGCCAGAAGTGGCGCTGTGGCTCAAGTGGTAGAGCACTAGCCTTGAGCTGAAGAGCTGAGGGACAGTGCCCAGGCCCAGAGTCAGGCCCCACGATCGGACCCCCCCCCCCCCTCAAAAAAAAAAAAGATTCATCACCAGATATACAAGGATGGTTCAATCACACAAATCAGTAAGCATGAAACAATAAACATCAACAGAATGAAACACAAACATCACTTAGGTATCTCAATAGCTGCACAAAAGGTATCTGATGAAAATTAACATTCTTTTATGATAAAACACTGAACAACTTACTGTAGAAGGAATGTATTTCAACATAATAAAGGCCATACATGGCAAGCTCCCAGCCAACCCCACACTCAACAAGGAAAAGCCAAAGCTTTCTCTCTAAGATCTGGAATTTGACAAGGCTACCCTCTCTTACCAGATATTGGAAAATAACTCAAATGGTCATATTTGCATTTGACCTGATCTTATATACAGAAAACCCCAAAGATTCAACCAAAAGCACTACAGATGTTATCAAGGCTGCAGAATACAAAATAGCATTGTCATGCAACAAGGGTGAATTCTCTGATAATTCAAGAAAGCAGTATCACTAAAGCAGCTACAAAATAGTAGACATGTGTTTATCCAGTGTTTCCCAGTGAAAATTACAAAACACCAATGAAAAAAGCTGAGGAGGAGATGAGGGATGTCTTCATTGGATTATATAATAGCAGAATGAATTTACTAAAGTTTGAAACTGTTACTAAATGTTGGATAATTTTATGTCACTTACAGCTCTCTAATATAATTACCTATATTATTATTTTATTATTTTTATACGTTTCGACATTTTTTGATGAATTGTTCCACAGAGGAAGACAAGCAAGTGTCTGCTCTGCTTGTTGTTTCCAGAGCTCATGTCTGATTCTCCCTGGGATGCTGGGGGTGGGAAGTCTTGTATCATCTCAGTGCTCACCACAGGAAGCACCGTGTGGGTCTGGGCAGTTCTGGGGGATTCTGAGCACACTGGAGGGTGGGGCAGGCAAGCGAAGTATTCCTGAGGTCTTGCCATCTAGGAAAGGCTGAGGTGAGGCGTGGGGGGGAGGTGACTTAGAGGAGGAGAGCCCAGGTTGATTAGACATGCAGAGAGTAAGCACTGGCCACAGCATTCCTGCTGTCCAGGGAGAGAAGGCAGAGGAAAACTTGGTCAACTATCAGTGAAGCCATCAGCGCTGTGGGGGGTAGACCTCCTGGGGACCAGACATCACTCAGCACTGAAAGGGAGAAATGCTTGGAATTCAAGCCCTGCATCAAGGAGGAGGAGGAGGAAGCTGAGGAGGAGGAGGAGGCAGCCAGCTTCCATGTAGGACTGAACTGGTATTCCAGAATATTACTGACTAAAGGAGGAAGTGCTCCTTTGAGGTTGGTGGTTTCACCTAGGAATGGCCAAGTCTGGAATTTCACACTGGATAAAGCAGTTGTCAGTTCTCTGAAGTGGACCATAAGCCACTACCAGGCAGTGCCCTGTGCACGACCCAGGCCCAGGTTCCACATCGCTGAAGGTGGCTGGCGAAGTATTAAACTAAAAACGAAGACATCCTGCCTTACTAAAACATTTTGTGATAGGCAAGCGATCCTTTGCTTTCCCAGCCACCCTGCATTTCCTTCGGAGCCAGAAGAAGTGTGACCCATCATCTCTTGGAATCGACGTGGGGAGTCAGAAGCCCCAGAACTGACAAGCCATGCAGCTATGAGACCTATTAGCTGTGTGGCTTTGGAAGAATTTGGCAGCTTCTCTGTGCTATTTTGTCATCTAATAGATAGATATGAGGATAGCTAGTCACCTGAATTTTTCGGACTTAACAATATTGTAAGGAGGGGGGGTTTGGTGGGGGGACAGGGGGAGGCCGGGAAGGGATGTGAAGGGTAAACAAAGGAGGAGGCTGCAATGCTTGATAAGAAATGTACTCATTATCTTGCCCATGTAATTGTAACCCCTCTATACAGTATGTTCACAAAAAATAAAAATTAAAATTAAAAAAAAAACAAAACAATAATGTATTTAAAACATATGATGTATAGTAAAAATTGGCTAATTACCAAATTAATAAAGCAAAGGACAAAAAATATCAGTCTTCACCGGGTGATTGCTGATTGTCTTGTGGTGATTTGGGGTCATGGAATTTTGGGGTCGCTCTGCAGCTCTGATGAGAGTGCACCCAACACAACACACATCCCAAATGCATCTTTGCTCTGAGTTTGCTGACTTGACGTTCTGCACTATTACAGGCTCCTGGTCTACCACCTGTGTATTCTGTGAAGAGGGATTTAAAACCATGCTCTGCTTCCAAGGCTCAAGTATCTTCAACGACCCGGTGGAGAGAAGTTGATAATTATTTTTTGTTGTTGTTGTTGGTCATGGGGCTTGAACTCTGGGCCTGGGTGCTGTCCCTCAGCTCTTCAGCTCAAGGTGAGCACTCTACCACTTGAGCCACAGTGCCACTTCCGGTTTTCTGGTGGTTTATGAGAGATGGGAGTCTCACAGAATTTCTGGCCCCGGTCTGGCTTTGAACCATGATCCTCAGAACTCAGCCTCTTGAATAGCTAGGATTACAGGCGTGAGCCACCGGCGCCTGGCTGCATTGATAACCCGTGTTGCATCTTATGTTCAAATGACTTCTAATTTCCTTAAATGTAGTAACTGATAAGCATGGTACTTTGTAACCCTTGATGAGCAAGGGACAGTGGAAACTATGCTTCGTTTTCACATCCGCTTGGGGCATCCTTGCCAGGTTATTTAAAACAGTAGGGGCAAATCATGGAAGATGCATATTTCCTTCTTAGCTAAATGTTTCTGAACCAAGAGCACTTGCTTGAAATGCAGAAAATGTGTAGCACACAGTCAACATCAGGATGCCAGAGCACAGATCATTAACCAGGTTTTCTCAGGGGTCAGGGACCCCGGAGCCTCCCAGGCTACGGCTCACAGGCAGAGCTGTAAATCATTGTCCGTGGGAAGCTCACCAGTCACTGGGTAGGTGGAAGGGGCTAGCGTTCCAACGCTGAGACAGGGTGGGAAAGGGAAGGAGGCCTGCATGCTACTGCCAAGACAGATGGGCTGCTCCGAAGCATGGGTCTACTACACTGTATTGATTACTCGCAGCATTCACAGGTCTACTACATTGTATTTATTACTCGCAGCATCGATTGATTTTTATTGTTTGGGTCTCTATCTATCCACCATCTATCTACGATCTCTTTCCATAGGCAATATAAAGAAAGAAAGTGAAGTAAACTGAGAAAGGCTTCTCCTCGAGGCTAGTTCTCCTGTACTGTGGCCCCTTGCTTAGCTCAGGTGCTCACGAGCAGCCTGTGCAAGGGAGCTGGCCGTGGACAGACTCGGGGGGAAATGGTAGGAGAGACAGGCATTTGGACTTCAATATAGTTTTACTGTAACTCTCCTCCTTTATCTTTTCAATAGCATGGTAAGAGGCATCAGTATTCTACTCAATCTAGATCTCCTAAGAGATGTTTCAGAAACACTAGACAATTGCAGCTTTCATGAAGGCCAAACTCTGCTTTGGATCCTCTTGGATCTTCAGAATCACACACAAAGCAAACCAAGACAGA